TAAATCACATACTTATTTTTGGATGGTTAAAAACAATCTTAGTTTCCTTTCGATAAAGTTCCCTTTTAATTATCTATCTATCTCACTACTATATTACTAGTAATCTAACCATAATTTCATTAGCAAATAAAATATCACCGACATATTTTCCTTTCTTTGGAACATAGTGTTAATAATTAGGACTCTTATGAAGAAACTCCTTTGCTTTCCTCTCTTTCTCAAATGTGTATGAGCAAGTTTGTTGCTCGAAAACAAGCAAGAACAAGTTTCAGCAAGACTACGTGTTAGACATCATGAAAAATCATCTAAAAAAATCAACCTAATGAACCGGTCCTTAAAACTCACACTTCTCATGTTCTACTCGTGCCATTAATAGATTTATAGCTAAGCCACCGCACTCTCCATCGTTAGCCCACAATATCATTAACAACATTTGAGACGACCCCCGATCGCAAATGCAAATTTAGGACCTAGAGAGTAAGTCGGTATGAAAATTTAGATACAAAGAAGGGTTGCCATATTATCATATACATCCCAAGGCTTATACAATCTTTGCTAAAATATTTTAAAAGGTTTGTTTCCATATATGTTTGTTTTTACCAATAAATCATTGATACAACAACAAGCTAATTGATTCTAAAAAAATCAACCTAACTAAGTACAATTAAAAAGATAATTTAATCATCGGGGATTAGAAGGTGGAATCCTAAAGTATTAACGATAACTTTTGCCCACCAAGATCGAATACGATATCGTAGTCTAATGAGAACAAATAATGAATTTATGATGATTCATCATGATTTACATAGTTTTGCACCAAGGAGCCTAGATAAATTATCTTAGGTGTGGTTGTACTCTACTTAAGAAATAAGAAAAGAAGAACATTAATGGCGGTGACATTCATGCCAACCCACGACCCAATACGACCTTCGAGCAATAGCATATCTCGAAGGGTACCAATTCAATAACAAACAATGCATCTTTTCATATTCCAATAGGAGAGACAATCATGCTCGGATGTTAAAGAGATCACATGATGAGGTTTGTTTCCACACGAGGCTTGTTTTTACCGATAAATCAAAAATCTCAAAATCAAACCCATAAAGAAATTAAAAAAAAAGAGTATAAACCTCGAAATTTCAAAGCCCGATCTTAATTTCTTAAGATCTCGATTCTTGGCAACCCAATTACATAATTTTACATAATTAAACTCTTATGTTTTAGAAAAAGAGAAATAAATTTACCTCAAAACCATGCCGGCGGCGTTGATTGAGGTCGCGGAATAAGCGAAGGTGTCCGCGCTTTCCTCCGGTTTGGACTGCGACGAGCGGTAGAGAAAGGAGGGGAGAGGGAAACGATCCTAGAAGGGAAAAGAGTGCAAATCACCGTTCTTTTACGAGCTTTGTTTGCTCGACAATGCGGTGGTGTTGGGTGACTATGGGGTCCTTGGGTCGGCTTCGGGCAATAATAAAATGAGTGGGTTTGGGTGAAAACGGGACAACAACTCCGGAGCTCCTCAAATGGAAAATGTTTTCTTTTTTTTTTTTTTTTTCGTGAAGTCAATTTCCAAAGTTTGCCTTTTTAAAATTTCCTTGATCGGAAAATAAGTTTCTTTGACTTTTTTTCAACATGGCCAAACAAACATGGGAAAATGGAGAAAACAAGTTTCGATAACTTATTTTCCTCGAAACAAACGCAACTCTTATATGGAGTGTTTTATAAATGATCTAGGACTAGGGTCAAAGTGCTTGAAGTTTGGGTCAAGACTAGTGTTGAGATTCAAGGTGCTCAAGATTTCATTCGAGACCGAATCCAAAGCAACCAATCGTTGATGTAGTTACTTGCCTAGGGCACCCGGGTTTGATGCAATACCGTGTCTAGGGCGTTTTGGGGTCAAACTAGGATTGAATCTCTTGCCCTACTATCCGATCTTAGATTAAGTTTAAGACATATGAGGTCAAGCTCGAAACACCAAGGATCAAGTCAAAAAAGGGTACGAAGCTTTAAAGTGTTGGATCAAGGTTAGATCCATAACACTTCGAAGTCGAGTCGGATGCACTTAAGTTTTAAGTTCAAGAAATCTAGATTAGTCTCAATAATTATGTACCTTATCGAAACTAAATGTATTTTTTTAATAAAAAAGCAAAATATAAACTATCTAACCAAACAAGTTTTCAATTTCTTTAAAATAAATAAAAAAATTAAAAAAAAATTAAAAATGACACCAACCGTATGTAAACTAAACAAATTTCTATTTCTTTTGGGACTATGACAAAATGATGAGCGCATAACAAGCTATTAGTTTGATAGCTAAACAAAGTTCTAATTTTTTTTAGAACTATTCAATGCTAAGAGGTATTTTTATATTAGTTTATGAAATTAAATATTATGTTTGTCTTAAACAAATTGTTTACTTTTTTATTTATAAATGTTCTAAAATATTTATTTGATAAAAATTTTAACTTGCATATGTTTCTAAAATATCCTTAATTAAAGTCTATTTTATAAATTTAATTTTTAAAAAAGTTAAAAAAAATATTGATATGACATAATAATTAATAATTTTCTTAATGTATGTTATAAACCAAAGAAGACAATCTCTTTGTGATATAGAAAGTACTATGTTGGGACAATTTTAAGAGTGTATCTTCAATACTTGTCTCAATGGATTTAAGAAAATAAATTCTTTATTGTTAGTTTTAAAACTCAGAAAGTTAACCAAATGAGAAAATTATCATCTATCTTTTTAGGAGTGAATTATAAATTAGTTCTTTTAGTTTTTTAAAATGAATTAGTTTTAAAAACTATTTAATTAGTCTTTTAATCATTATTAACTATATTTAGTTTAATATTAATTTATTCAAAAAAAATTTATCGATCTTTTCATAATATTTATTCAATATTTCATTTATTTAAATAAAAATAAAAATAAAATAGTTATTTATTTTTTTAAAACAAAAGGAACGATTTAATTTGAGTAACTATTTTATGATTTACTCACCTTTTCAAGGAATTCATTTATTGTGGTAGCAAAAAGTTTAAAACGGAGAAAAAAAGAAAGTGAAGACACGCGAATGAGTCGCGTGTTAAGCAAAACGGTTTGGGGCTACGTTAAATTAAAAATACAGAAGCGGGACCCACCATACTTGGCAAAAAGCCTACGTGATACTCGGAAAGAAGGGAAAAAAAAAAACAAAACAAAAACTGAAAAACAAAATTTAATAATCTCTCTGTTATAAAATTGAAAAATAAAGCTAAACAGAAACGGACGCTTGATTCCCCCTCTGTTATATAAACCCCACACCGGGAACCACGCTTTATAACTCCCCTTCACAGATCTCTTTCCTTTCTCTATATCTGCAAAATCTTCTTTGAAGGCTGAAGCTTCCTCGAATCGTCTCATTCAATCAAGCCAAACAAATTCACTGTTTTTCTCTCTCTAATTGTTTTTTTTTTTAAGGTAATCTTTCGTTAATCGGCTTTATAGGCTGATTTTTTTTCTTTTGGTTTAATTTTAGTGCTTCATTTCTTATAATGGTTTGCTGTTTGTTTGGATTCTTGAGTAGTGATTGGGGCATAGATCTTGGATCTTGTTAATTTGGCTGCGGTTTGTTGTTGTTTTTTTTATTGAAATTTGTACTGTATTGTGTTTGGTTTCTAGGAAAGAGAGGAGAAAGGGAAGGTAAATGAGGGAAAATTGGCATATTTTTTAAGCGTAACGAGAGAGGAAAACTGATTTATTTTGGTTTTCCTTTTGGTTTTATTTGCGTAAAAGTGGCAAAATCTACTCTTGCTTTTTTCCCTGGCCGTTTTAGAAATGAACCTAATCTTATTATTTTTTAGGTTCTTTGTTGAGGCGAGTGGTCATCTTGACATGGAATCTACTAGTTTTTTTTTTTTTCCTCAAGTTCTTGTTGTCTTTCTGAATTCATGAGGTTCCAGATAGCAAAATTATTTCAATTTTTCTGATATTTTTCATAGATTGTTGTATGAGTTTAGAAGAATCCAATGCTTATTTTTATTTTTTTCATTAATCTTTTAAAGATATTTTATATTTTGAAGTTTTAGTTTTTATTTATTTATTTTTGAGTCTGCTTCGCCAAATTTTAACCTCATGAAATTGAATGACAATCAATTTTGCTGATTATTAACTCCTTCGTTTTCATTTTTCACTGGGCCTAAAATGAGATTTAGATGAATTTGCTTCGTGGTTGAAGAGGATTGTTCATAATTTGCATTTTAATAGACTAAATAGCATAATAATATAGAATTCTATGATGGTTTTTTTTTTTTTTTTTGTGCGAGGAACTGCTTTTCTTGATCTTATACTACATAATGTTTTTTAAATATTTATTTGGTTGTCTGACAAAAGTGGTGCTTATCTTGAATAATGGAATTTTCAACGCCTATATCTTCACTGTTTAAGCACCTGTTGAAAAGTAGTTGAAGCCTCTTCTTACTAGAAGGTCAAAGTATTCAAATGTGTTGTGTTAGGAATATGTTTCAGGCATACTTCATCGTTGCTTTTTAAAGAGATGAAAGTGAAAATTCCAAAACAAGATGGGCTTCCTTCTGGTACTCTACTTGTTAAAAAATCTAAAGTAGCGGGTCCTTTAAGCTGTGTTCTTTTTCTGTATTTGGTAGATGGGGAACTTTGGAATTTGGCCTTTGTTATGAAAATTAAACGATGAGGTGGGCCGTGGGGCTTTTTGTTTGGTAAATTATCTTATTCTAGTTCAGACAACATAATTGGTATGAACTTTATGCGGTTGTTGGCATCTACCTTGTGCCTATCTAGATGTTATAATATAACACGCAAGTGGCATCTTTTCTGATACTTTACTTCCCCTTCCTTGCATTGAGTTTCATATTTTGTAGCACTGGAAGGTTATAAGTTAGGTTGGTACTTAAAACTTGGATGATAAGGGGAATTTGGTTACTGATCTGGTTTCATTTCTCTTGTCCAATCCAGAGTTAAAGAAGGACGTGAGAGCAGATCTATGGACTTTGAGCAATATTTTGCCCAGGAATGGAAATCAGTTTCAAGTGCAGCAGCAGCTGAACCCGAAAGTTTTAGTGGTTGTTTCGACTGTAATATCTGTTTTGATTTTGCAAATGAGCCAGTAGTTACCCTCTGTGGCCACCTCTACTGCTGGCCCTGCATTTACAAGTGGCTCCATGTCCAGAGCGCCTCCCTTGCCTCCGATGAGCACCCGCAATGTCCAGTATGCAAGGCAGATATTTCTCACACCACCATGGTCCCCCTCTACGGCCGTGGCCAAGGCTCGACTGAAGCTGGAGGCAAGACACCATATAGCGGTATGATCATACCTCCCAGACCATCAGCTTGTGGTGCTCAAGGTGTGTTGTCGAACACATCTAATACTGGCCAGCGGCTTCCTTATCGTAATCCTTACCAGAGCCATAACCACAACTCAAATCCATACGGCAGTTTTGAAGAGGCTTCCTCGTCACCATTACTTAATCTTGGAGACCCTGCAACGACTGGTTTGCAGCAACCAGTTGTTGGGATGTTCAGGGAGATGGTGTACGCAAGGGTTTTCGGTGCAGTGCCCAACTCATACCACTTAATGGGAACTAGTAGCCCCAGGTTGAGGCGGCATGAGATGCAGGCAGACAAGTCATTGAACAGAATCTCAATCTTTCTTTTCTGTTGCTTTCTTTTATGCCTAATTGTGTTTTGAAATACGCTAGTAGGTTATTGGCCATTGTTCACCTGTACAGTTTGTAAAGAGCAACGGATCCGAGTTTATGAAACGTTAGTAGATCAGATATTATATATATGAATTGAATTTTTATATTTTACAAGAAATACATGCTTTTTTATCGACTATATACGAGGCTGAATCGGAGCACGGTGAGAACCTGAACATTCTTTCATGAGAACTAGTACTGAATCTGCAGATTGTCGATCTGATTTTTATTATTCCGAAGCAATTGATGAACTTCCTTGTAAACCAGATAGCTTTCAGTTCGGTTTCTAAGACCTACTTCGCCACCTGAAGGTAGCTTGGCCTTCTTATTCCCAACCAGGACTAGGATTACTTACATTCAAGTAGGCAATTGGGCGGAGCACTAGCATATATGCGCTGGTTGTAGCTCCACCATAGGCTCGTACACTCTCAATTGATTACTACTACTGGCCCAACTGACAGGAGACAAACCAGTAGACTAAATTGCCATTCAATAAGGAGAAAGATCATTTTTTAAGAAAGAGATAGATACATGTATGAATCAAAATTATTTTTCAAAAAAAAAAAAAAAATACAAAAAGAGTCAGATTTGGATTCATAAAAAATAATAATAAGATTTTTATATTAATTTAAGATTTTTATGATACTCTCTGAGTATCATAAAATTTCTCATCAGCTCCAAAATATACGAACCCCAGAGCCTCAGGGCAAAGGGATCATCTCTCTCTCCCAAGTTACGTAAATCCATGAACTCTTAATTGTTGAAACAAATCCATCCTCCATGCAAGAATAGTTTCAAGTATCGGAGGGTGTCCTGCTAAGAAAAGGGACTTTCCATTTTTTTAGGTTACATCTAAGCTCCACTTCAATCGAGGCAATGGTCCATAAATTCCCCACTTCATCAATGGCTACATTGCTATTGTCAGTGGAATCTGCAGTCCGGGACAAAATTCTTGTAGCTTTAATTAACACGAATATAGCCAACTAGAGATGGGACCCTAGAGGAGTGGGAAGGGGTAAAGAAATGTAGTATCTTTGGCATTTTGAATGACGCCTTGCAATTTTCAAAGATTGAAAACACAATCGTCGAATTGATTATATAGACAAGGACACAAAGATCGAGTTTTTGGGCAAGTTGATTTTCCTCTGCATTAGCTATCTTGCTTTAATCAATTATTATACTACTGGTTAAGCACTAAGTCCTTGTTGATGTTTTATGATAAGAAGTAGCAATAACTTTTGTCGAGGGACAACGGTAGTGGTGGAGCCACAATAGAAAAGCATGAAAGAAGCTGCATTATGGTTTTTCTCTTTAGTCAATTCTAGCTCCCACCGCAGTGACTTCATCTGGACAGTACATGAATTGTAGATGAAAGTCTAATGACAGGGGATTTAAGAGGATAGACTTGAAAGGAAAAATTTATAGTCGCTTAAACAGTGATTTCGAGTTCACTTTTTGAATAGTTATATCTATTTTGTGTGCTCAATTGAATAACGAGAGATTAATCTAAGTTTTTTAATATGAGATGTATTGAAAGAACATGACCTACATAGATAATGAGTCAATTGTGATAAAAAAAAAAAATGCTTTCAAGTGGGATGTTTATCTCATATTGAAAACAAAAAAGAAGAAGAGATACTTTATCAATAAACTTCTTGTACTGATCTCAAATTGAAAGAATTTATAGAGAACTCAAATTGGAAGATTTAGAGGGAAGCTATTGAGTAAAATTATATATATATATATATGTATACCTATATATATAATCAAAAGAATACGATTGGGGCATGCAGGTATTAAATGGTTCACGGGTCCTAATAACCTCATTTTCTCTCTTTAGGGATGGCCAGTATGAGTAATTAATCTTATACCAATTACTCATCTATGATTTGTAGACTTTATTTTTCTATATATATAAAAGATCATAACCTTAATTAATGAGATAAGATTGAAGTAGATAAATATACTCAGTGATGTCCAGTTCATTGTATTCACCAAACACTATAAAACTCGTTTAATTCTATCTTATACAACATACCAAATGCATCCTTATTGAATTAAATATTTTCAATACTCAATTCTATTCAAAATAATTGAATATTTGGAATATTTGATTTTAATATTCGTCTCAATACAGTTAGGTATTTTGAACATTTAATCAAATCCACTTTCCAACTTTTGTGTAGGATATTCATAATTTCAGAATCTTTTGTACACATCTTTCTCAAGTGATTTGCCAAAAAACATTTCATTTTCAAAACTACTTGAGAAGCCACCATAGTTGTAAACTTGTGTGAAAATTCTTGGAAGACAGATTAGCTATGGTCGCAACTGTTATTTATACATTTTTTCAAACAAGTTTCATGAATATTCATACTGCTAAAATCAGTTCTGAAGTTTTGAGTTCATGTTTGAAGTAAAACCAACATGAATCTTAAGTACTATTGTTTAAAAGCTAATACCTTTGAATAGGTGACAAACAGTCTATGATTTCTCACTTAATTTGTGTTGATCATTGAAATGTTGAAGAGGGGAAGTCAAAGGAAAGGTAAGAGGGCAGGATCCAAGGCTCCTCTTACTACACACCCAAATGTCCAATGATCGAAGGAAAAAGTGTTTTTTTTTTTTTTTTTTTTACAAGAAAGCATTGAAATTACTATTATTGAAAATATACCTTTTTTTTTCTTCTTTCACTTTGGTAGAATTTAATGCGCATTGAATTGTGAATCGTCAAATATTCTTTTTCAATTTTGTTTATCAAATTGAACGATGATTATATTTGGTATTCTATGATCGTTTCTAGCAAAATAGTTATAATCACAATTGACTCAACTGACTTCATCATTTGCCATAAGCAATCACTCATTTGGTTAACAGAAATATGAATCTTGAATACCATTATCTAAAAGCTAATACCTCTAAATAAGTGATAAGCACTTTGTGATTTCTAATTCAATTTATGTTAATCATTGACATGTTAAAGAGGAGAGGTCGAAGGAAAGGTAAGAGGGCAGGATCCAAGCTTCCTCTTGCTATATATCCAACTTTAAAATGATTGAAGGAAAAAAGTTCTTTCTTCTTCTTGGGTTTTTTTTTTTTTTTTTTTTTGACAAGAAAGCATTGAAAGTACTAGTGTTGAAAATCTACATTTTTTTTTCCTTCTTTCACTTTGCTAGAATTTAATGCGTGTTGAATTGTGAACCATCAAATATTTTTCTTCAATATTGTTTATCAAATTGAACGATGATTATATTTGGTATTCTTGCGATCGTTTCTAACAAAACAGCCATAGCCATAATTGACTCAACTAACTCTATTGTTTGCCATAAGTGATCACTCATTGGTTAACAACAATATGAATCTTGAATACTATTATTTAAAAGCTAATACCTCTGAATAAGTGACAAGCACTTTGTGATTTCTCGCTCAATTTTTGTGAATCATCGACATGTTAAAGAGGAGAGGTTGAAGGAAAGGTAAGAGGGCAGGATTCAAGCTTCCTCTTGCTATATAAGCAAAAGTAAAATGATCGAAGGAAAATGCTCTTTCTTCTTCTTTGTTTTTTTTGACAAGAAAGCATTGAAATTATTATTGTTGAAAATCTACATTTTTTTCTTCTTTTACTTCATTAGAATTTAATACTTGTTGAATTATGAACCATCAAATATTCTTCTTCAATCTTATTTATCAAATTGAACGATGATAATATTTGGCATTCTGCGATCGTTTCAATTTACATCTCCTTTTATGGGATATATGGTGCCTTTATGTTTGGTTAGGCCACCCACTTTTTTCTCTGCGAAGCCAAAAACCAAACTTCAAAGAGTTGCTTTTTGACTTAGGTTCCCTCCATGGTCTCTTGACAATAACGTTGAGGCACATGATTTGCAATTTTTATACATGTCGTCTAATTGTAATTTCTGTGAATGGTCCTAAATTGATCTTTCGAGCAATTTGACTTGCAAGTCTACATGATTGTAGTCTTGATAATAACGCTACCCTTTAAATTGATGCTTGCAAATAATTCAAATTCATGATTGTAGAGTCAAGAGTTTAAATAAATATATAAAAGTGGTAATTTATGTGTATTTTCAACGCAAAAATAATTGTATTTGTCGTGTTATGACGGTGATTTGTATTGTTAAAAGCATGGAAATATTTTACTGTAAACAATTTATATTTATTTGATAATATATTTCAAATAGAGATCTTTTTATTCTTGTTATCTATTTTTTGAGATATAGTTTTTGACAAATATTTTTACACATTGAATTTAATAAGAAATAATATATGTGCTGGGATATATTAATTTCCGTTTGCTTTTTTCGAACTTCAAAGTACTTTTACACTTAATATAGAGCCAGAAGGTTATTTATTTTTAAAATTTTCTCATTATTAAAAAAATCATGGAAAATGGTGATGATTAACTAGTGGCACTTGATTACTCACCAAGACGCAAAATGATTAACTAGTGGCACTTGATTACTCACCAAGACGTGCAGATCTATCCCCCTTTTGAGTTCAGAGACTTTCGGACTTGAAAGGGCATTGGATTAAAGGTTATTTATGTTTCTCTATTGTTTATTTTGGACTTTTAGGATTTTGTAATTATTTTTATGTATAGGAAAGAATAGAAGCAAAGTTTTATTTATTTATTTCATAAATTTATTATGAAAATTTATTTTAAATCTAAACCAAAAAAAAAAAATTATGAAATTTTTTTCATAACACAAGAATGAAAGCAAAAAGCAGATAAAAAGGATATTTTTTAGTTATTTTTATTTTTTAAAAAATTTTTAGAAAAAACAAAAAAAATTGACAGATGAAATTAATTAATTATTTTTATATCTAAAAGCAGAGAAAAAGAGAAGCATTTTGGATTTTTTATAATTTTTTAGGCTTTTTTTTCAGATTTTTTTTTAAAAAAAATCTATGTATTAGTATCATATGAGTCTATAGTCGAAAATTGAGTTACTGAAAAAATTGACCAAAAAAACAAAATTAAGATGCAAATAAAAAACTAAAAGATATAACTATTAAAAAATTAATAAAAAAATACGACAAATATAACATTTATCTTATAGTTCTGGCCTTACACTCTGAATCGAGCTACTCTCATATAACACGCCACATTAATTCAAGAAAGATAAGATGATTGGAATCGATTCCTTTTGGAATTGAACGAAAGTTGAGATTTTTATTTTTTATTTTTTTAAAGTTGAGATAAGAAGTATCTGTCGGTTATAAGCCTAGGTGTCTCCTTCGATCTGTTCATTGCTGTCCAAAGTTTTCGTTTTCAAAAAATTAATCTTTTTGGAGGAGCGATGTCTTAGAAACTGACAGATGCATGCAAAAAGGTACAGAATTTGATTATCTCGTCAATAAGGTCGGTCGTTTCGAAAGATACAAGGGAAGATAAAAAGAAATTTGACATTACATAACACGAGCTTGCTACAAAAGTGATATAGACAATCAATCAGTTTGGCCTCCAAATACAATACCTTCCAATTTTGGTTTTAGTATGAGGCCACTACAAACCCTTTAGCCCATGTAGATTCAGGAGAAGTACAAATTCAAACTCTAGCATTACAAATAAGCCGACCCCAGTCCTCACATCTTCAACATCATCGTAGAACTTCAGAAAGCACCTCATAGGCCATCGGATTGTCCCCGCTGACGGAGTTCCTCTATTACTCTGCAGAATCATTCAGTCATAACCCAACTTGTGATAAATTGTATACGTTCCATGTCTATATCATATCATGTAATTCACATAGTATCTATCTCTTATATACCAGAGGATTGTATTGTATCACCTTGGAAGCAATCTACCATCCTTCAGCGCAGAACATTTTTATATATCCCTTTAGGCTTTAGCTAGCAAATTTATCATCTAAGCTTTCCTTTTTTCCCTCCCCTGTTTTGAGAATATCAGTGAAAGTCTTCATGCTATTGCCCATATAAGTGCTCGCTCCTTTGCACCTGCTTCAAATGGTGTTACCCTGTAACTTAATCCATATCTTTTCTCAATGCCTTAAATCGAAAGCAGTCACTGATCAGATGTAAATTGTAATCTACCTCAATGATGAAAGCAGGACCACCACATGAATAGGTGATTATGTACGTTTTTCTTTCTCCCCCTAGCTTACTGATGGCTCGCACTAATAAAAACATGAAGATGAGAAAGTGTAGCTGTTCAAATATATCGAGCACTTAAAACAATGCCACATATTCGTCCTGCCAGATTACATAAGCACATCAGATTGTGATTTGCCACCCTTAATATATGTCAGCAATCTGTTGTGAACAACTGGAGAGAAAATAGACTCAGTTCTCAGTAATTCTACGAACTCTTCAGCTTTGCTCTGATCTCCCTTCCCTTCCAAATATTCCAGAAAGGTAGTCAAAGTTTCCTTGCTGGGCTTCCATCCAAGTGGACACACCAAGATTGCTTTCTTCATAGCTTCCTTTGCCATGGGAATATGATTATCCTCAAGATAACCACTTGCAAGAGAATACCATGCATCAACTGAAGGTTCACTCCCTTTGGTTATTGCATGATCTATAAGGGATTCGGCCTTCGCTAAAAGATTTTTTCTGCAATATGCATTAATCAATATATTAGGAACTCGGAAATCATAGGATAAATTCCTGGATTCCCACTCCTTAAAAATCATCTCGGCAGCTTCAATGTCATCCAACATCAAAAGCGAGCTTATCATGCTCATATAGCCCTTATTGTAGATTTTATCCCTTTTCTCGTAAAGTTTCCAGATACGATACAGCTCCTCTTTATTCCCTGTTCTAGCATAAAACTTCAGGAGAGTATCAAGTGCAATACTCTTTGTTTTTTCAGTTATCCGTTCCTCAAGTTTCTTCAGCATTGTCATGGCCTTTTCTACTTGCCCAGCTTTCAAGTACCCATCTGCTGCAATGCCATAAGTATTCCAATCTGGAGCCACCTCCTCATTTAACTCCATTCTTTCCAGAATCTTATCCATTCCTTCAATGTCAGAGTTAGCTGCAAATGCAGTCAAGCGGATGCTGAAAGTATATTGGTCAAATGGAATGCCCTTTGATTCCATTTCGGACATTAAGGCATCTAGTTTCTCATTATTACCTGTCTGCAAGTAAAGATTCATCAATATATTGAAAACTAACGGGGACCTCATAACCACAATGTCCGTCAGCTTCTTAAAGGTCACCTCTGCCTTCTCCACATCCTTTACAAGTGCATAGCAGTTGAGAAGAGCAGTATAAACCTGAAAATTTTTTAAATTTTGTGGGACGTCATTAAAATAATTCTCTACTTCTTGAATGCCATGAACTCTCACGATTAAATTCATCCTGGTTGCTACATCCTTGCATGAAAGAGGAACGTACATCTTGTTGCTAATCCAATGAGATATCTAATAGGAACAAAGAAATTAAATATATTTAGGCCAGATTTGGCTACACAAGGATATTGCAATAAAAATTAAAGCAAAATAAAGTGGATTTGGATTCAAGCATGACATAGAAACATAACCACTATGCATATAAAGTATAGGTTGCGAACAACTGCCGCCTCAAAAATAAAATATCTCTACAAATCACTGTCTCAATATGAGGGAAACTGTATTTTCAACTTCTCCATCAATTTCACAGCTGCCTCCCAGCAAAAAGATCTTTTTTTTCATTGTCAAGAGTTCCCTCAAATGCCAATAACGTCATTGGCAGAAGAAAACCAATCCAAACCGACCATAAACAATCATAGACACAGAATAATTTACAAGTATAAATACTTGTCTACGAGTTGATTAACTTACTTAATTTCACAGGCCCATTTGCTTCAATAGGCAAAATTTGTGATAAAATTCATTCTTTTTATAACGAAAGCTCAAAGTCTCATTCTTTTTATATAGAACAAAACGAAAATGGTTTAAATGGGTCATACAAACTTCACAAATTCACTAAATTTTCAGTTTTGCGTCGCATTTGTTCCAATCAACAGAATTTAATCCATAATCATCATCTAAAAAGTGAAAACCACACGCATTCTACAGAAAAGTTCACCTTTTCTACTTAGTTTCAATAACCCATTTCCTTCGATCTAAAAATAATAATAATAAAAAAAAAAATCAAAATCCAATACCAAAAGTAAAAGTCGAAAACATATGAAGGTACTGGCGAAAGAGAGAACCTCAAGGGCATGCTTGAAACGCTTGTAAATTCTCAACTCCTTTATTATCAGCTGCAACTCTGATTTTGTTACAGAATTGCCTTGTCTAACCCACTGATCAAGGACTGGTGTCACTGAGATGTTGGGGTCACCGATTGGTGAGATTCTTCTGTACAGTCTATCTTGTGCAATTGAAGAGAAGAAATGGGTAGAAACATGTTGTGAGGCCAAAATTGATCGGACATGTGATTTGCCATAGAGTGACAGCTTCATTTTTGGGAGGGTTTTGGAAGATGAGTTTTTAGGGTTCAATGGTTTTTGGGTTTTGGGCTCTGGAAGGAGAGATTTTTACAGTGGTATATGCAGCCCTTGAAAAGGCTAAAACCCAGATGGTCAGTCCGAATGTAAGGTTATTTAAAAATTACTCTTTAAACTTTTAATTTTAGATTCAATCTCTTTGAACTTTTTTTTTAATTTAATCTATCTTTTAATTATTTAATATTTATTTTTAAAAAATAAAAATTATATAAATAGCTTATAATAAACATCATTCAATAAAATTTATATGAGATTCTCTACAAAATTTAGAAACATTTCATATTATTTTTTTTTCTCAATTTTTTACGTTTTTAATATTAAAAAAATAAAAAATATTTTTTTTTACCTTGAAAAATTCTGAGATTTTTCTACAAAGTAAATTAGATTTTTTTTTACGTGAATTAACATTCAAATATAAAAAAAAATTACAAAATTAAATTTAAGTAGAGGGATTTTTTTTAATATTTTTAAATTTGAAAATTATTCCCATGCTTTTCGAATTATTCATCACTTCTATCTATCTTTACAATTTTTACTTTCCTATCTAATTGCCTCTCAACCTCTTTAATATACACTTCAAATGCATTAATTGGTTGAGGTTTATCATTCAATAGATACATGTAACTATAATGCAAAGAAATCATCAATAAATACGATAAAGTATTTTTCTCTATTAAAAGATGAGGTGTTAAAATATCCACATATATTGGCATGTATAATCTCATAAAGCTATGTTTTTTTTTGTGGCTTTTTTCCTAGTATGGTTTGTTTGGTTTTTTTTTTTTTTTTAAATACAAATAATACGCACTTTAACATCATTAAAATCTAAATTTAAAAGAATTTTATTGTTTACTAATATTTGCATCCTTTCTTTGAATATAGAAGCACTCATCAACGTTCATTGTCAAGTTCATTAATTTTACGGTAAGGTTGTCATCTTAAGAACATGTTTATGCATGATATGTGAGCCATCATAATAAAGTGCTCATTATTATACGTATTACGGTATTTTTTTGCCCTTAAAGTATTGCAATTTGATAATTTTAGACTCAACGTAATTTAAACTCTAAAGTGTTAGGGATTGGACAAAGTGATCCAAATTGTCCAATCCTTATTATTTTTAACGATAACTATCAATTGACTATTATTTAATTTTATTTTTTTAATTAAAGCCGAGAGGAATTGAAAAGGGTAAGGTGCCCTTTCAATTACTCTCGTAAAAACCTAGTTTGATAGGTGATTTTGTTGTTCCGTAATTCTTTTAAAAGCTTACTCTCGTTCATGTAAAATAACTTAATTTAGACCCTTATCTACTCCACAAACTAACCCACCCTTTCCGACACATTGTTTTTACATGGTGATTGCTCTATTAATATATCAAACATGATGATCTGTTGAATATGTAAGAGCATTTGTTGGATGTTCACTTGAAAGAAGTGTTGTCACTACTCGCTCAAAAGATAATTCTAGATTCTATGGGAGCCGGTCTATATCCGCATCGGATACACTTATTAGCTCATTGCCTGGATCATCCGTCGTTGAAATTACGTACCGTGCACTTGCGAACCTATATCGAAGCTCGATAGGTGATTTGTTAGAGTTCATTCTCGGCATACTTGTTTGTCTTTGCATTTGTCAAGTCATTTTACATGTAGTGTCCTTTATTGCCATTCTTTGCTCATCCGAAATAGTTGATGGGCGAAGTGTACGACTTATTTGTGCCGGAGATTATCCGACTCGGTGCCTTTCCGAAAAGGGGGAGGAAAGAAAAGAATTTTCATACATGAGTGTATTGTGTAGTTGTATATGATAAGCCAATGACCCGTTTGGATATCTACATGTACATGTAACACCTCTTGTACTTGAATGAAATTGAGTTAATCGACGTGCAACAAAAAGAAGATTATTCCGTTGGAATGCTTGTTTTACCGTGTAGTTTCTCTCTACAATTTTCAACGCAAAAGAAAAGGTGAAAGGGGTAAAGCGGATGACTTATTGTCCGTCTTACCACTTTCAATTAAAAAAAAAAAAAAGTAATGATCAACCGATAGTTGGTCGTAAGATGATTGAGTAATTTGAATCATATTTGTCCAATCTCTAATATTTTAAGATTCAAATCATCCAATTTGATACTTTATGTCTAAGATTACTAAATTGCAATACTTTTAAGACAAAAAAGCGAGTAATATCCATTATTATACTACCAAGTGGCTTAGTGGCAATTTGAGAGTGTTATTTCACAAATTACTTGAATTCCTTAGCATTGCATGTGTTTAAAAAAAGTGGTCTTTAAGTTGTCCGCAACTCGTCATTGCATAAACATTAAACTTAATATATTCAATCTCTTTCGAACTTTACGGAAAACCTTTTCATCAAGCATCTGCTCTCATCGATAATAGCAGCGAGGCACCAAAGAGCTTGTAACCAAATGATAATGATCTCCTACAATAAAAGGTCACTGGTTTAAATCCTAACAGTACTATTTCTGCTAAGAGCCTTGGGGGTAAGTAACCAAAAAAAAAAAAAAAAAATTGTAACGAGCACATCAACTTGAAGTGCTAAACCAAGGTCAAGGGCACCTAAGTGGAACTAAACTTATTCCTATCAATCAAAGAAATTCAATCCATTAAATACGAAACAAATGAATCATGCGAATGAAGAGAAACAAACATGTATACTTAAAAATAAAATAAGGTACTTTATACATTAAAATGTGAATCATAAATTTAGATTCAAACATATAACATGAATAAGTATAAAATACATCAAAGACCTCTTTTGTTTGAAACTAAGGTGTACAAACATAGATAATAATTAATAGTAACATATGTACCATATAGATCCATTTTGTTATCTTTGATTATGCAAAACAAAACCAATAGAACATACTAATCACCAAAATTTATATTTGTCAATTGCAAGAACAATTAATCAACAGTTTGACTGACTCTAAAATGTTTTGTATGAACAAAAATTTAATTTTCCCACAAAAAAATATAATTACTTAACTTAGTGTCATTTAAAACTTTAGAGTTTATGGGTAACTAAAAATAATTTACAATCTGAAATTTATTCACACTAAGATTTGGCCACTTTGGTCACTAACAAATCATTCTTCATACAAATTTTCAAATTACAAATACAATATTTAAGCACTTTAATAACACTTATATACTAACATAGAAAAACTTCAATATGTCACAACAATACACATGGATATATATTGTAGTATTATAATTTTTTTTTTGTGTTTTCACTATATGTCAAATCTTTAATAAACTTGATCCTTTTAACATATAATTAAAAAATTAGCTAAAATTACTTGCAACAAAATTAATAATTGGAATTCTAAAATCACAAATAAGAGAAAAATCCACAATCCTAAATGAAAAAAGATGAGTTCCTAATCTATGCTCTAATACCACATGAAAATTAAAATTGTAATAATATAGTAAAATAAGATAGAAATTCAACATTTTTATAAATCTTAAAACTTCATGTTTTTCAATAATTAAAAAAAAAAACTCTACTTATTCGGACTTTTAAAGAATACTATGAAGCAAAAAAAAATAAATGAAGAATGATTTCTCTTTCTTGATTTTTTTTTTTTTTTTTTAAGGATGAAATTATGATAGTCTTAAAATTTCTTTTTTTTTTTTTGGTTACTGTCATTGAAAGGTTGAGGGAGGAACAAACTCTTCGTTATATAGCATTAACCAAAGTTTTTCATCAAGATTTTATCATATATTATGATTAATTATATATATCATAATTAATTAGATACATTTTAAATATCAAATATCATATATCATATAAGTCATAATCAATTTAATTTTTTACATACATATATCATGTGGATCATAATTAATTTTACATATGATATCTCGTTACTATAGTTTCTTGGTTTATTGTCTTTTCTGTTAAGTCGCACACTAATCGTAGTTAGTGTTGGAGATGTTGTATGACGTGTGTAAAAATTTAAATTTTATTTATTTATTTTATTGAATAACAAAATATATATTAAAAAAGACCCAAACAAAACTGTGGCTCAAAGCTCAAAACTTTCAATCGATTTCTCCAAAATATATATATTTTTATTTTTATAAGATAATATAAATAATGCGACGACAGCAGAAGATTGATTTTACCGTATAGGATCCCCCTTTAATTGAGCAGCTGGACATCACTTCAACATTCTACTGGTCGCCATTCTAGGGCTTTATTTGGTTTCTATAATCCTTAGTCTTGAATATTTTTTCCCATGGTCTCCGCCGTGCCAAAAAAAGCAAGCATGCTGCTAGCAAATTGCTTTAAAGTTTAAAGTAGAGAAAATTTCTTTGAACAGAGCACGACTATCTTTCTCTTGAAATGACAAGTTCGAGATAAAGGAAAGAAAAGAAAAATGGAAAAGCAAGGAGAAAAATGGAGGCAAGTGGCTTTTTAAGCACATTTTGCACCAGTTAACACCTAACCCCTTTAGCAGTCAAATCAAGTTTGCCACCAACTCTTGAAGATTCTAAAACTTCCGTTCACTCGTGATCTTCCTAAATATCAATTATCATCCTCTCAGTTCAACAATTAAAAAAAAAAAAAATTCATCCTCTTAGGCATAATGGAAAGATCATCGGTTAAATTTGTAAATTTAATAAACAGGTCTTCCATCAAATCTGGATGGAAAATTAAAAATTGAGGATGGGTTGTAGCGTGATTCAAGATCTTCTTCGATTTAAAACAAAATAAAAAAGAAGAAGAAGAAGATTTTAACAACATGTCTTGCAATTGCATTCATCCATAAGTTTTATTTTTTATTTTTTTACTATCATAGATATCTTCAATTACTTTTGAAGATAACAATGGATGGATACTTATCCTATTAATTTAATTTTTTATTTTATTCATTATTCATTAAGAAATTATAATATAAATCTTTATTAAGTCCATACTTTACTTATATTAGTTTATTTATTCATTTAATATCAATTAAATACTCGTTAAATTTAATTTGTAAAAAAATATTTATTTTAGTGTATATAATTTTTAAGAAAATTTTTTTTATCCTTAAATTTTTTATCTTTTTATTTTTTATTTTGATCATTTATTTATAATTTTTTGATTTATAATTTTTTTTAAAAAATAGTTTGATCCTTAGTTTTTAAATTTTATGCAATTAAATCCCTGAATGTTAATAAAAAATTTAAATAAATTAATGTGTATTAATAGGATAAAGAGTAGATACCTATATCTTCAAAACATATTAGTGGATATATATGTTTTTATCTTTATCCATTTTAATACTGATTAAATTTTCTTATTGGATATTTATTAGATCTGGATAAAACGAGTATCAATTTTATATTTGATCTATTGTCATCCCTAATTACTTTTTATATACTAAAACTAAATCTGCTTTAACAAATAAAAACAAATTATCCAATACCAAAATTAAAACATTTATAAAAATTTCATTTCCTTGATCCTTCTAGTTGAAGAGGCAGGGCATCCCCATTATCCTCATCTTCTTGTGTATGCCTGTTAACTTTGAAAGGGTAAAACATGTCACATCTTGTGGTTTCTCAATATTCCTGTTGACATTGGATAAACGTAGTGAACTACTACGTTTTTTTTTTGTTAAAAAAAAAAAGAGAAAAAGAAAAAGAAATATTACAATTCAATAATGGCATAGGCAGACAAAGAAGTTTGCCAGACCCTTTCAGAGTAGGGTCAGAGTTCCCGGCCGCTCTTTTGACTTGATTTTGTATTTATTTGTTCCATTTGCTGAGTGATTAGTAGGTTGACCTTAACAATAGGATATCCGTCCTATTCTATCTTTTTAAATATTATATAATCCATTCTTTACTCATGGAAGAATAAATTATAAATTAATTTTTTTTATTTTAAAAAATAAATTAATTAGTTTTTTCAGTTTTAAAAATTAATCATTTAACCTTTTTAATCAGCATTTACTACAACTAATTTAATATTTTTTATTTTATAAAATATTTTATTTTTTTTATCAATCTTTCTATTTTTTTACTTATTTTTTATTTTTTTAAAATAAATTAAAAAATTAATTAATTTATTTTTCGAAATTAGAGGGACTAATTTATAATTTATTCACTTAAAGAAATAAGAAACTCTAAAAAAAAAAATCACATATTCAACCATTTCGATTTACTCTTATTACTGTTTTTTGTCTTATCATGCAAAATTTACAAAATCCCTGGTCGCAGCTGCACACACACATACATATAGAATCAAATGTCTACGAATTTCTACCATATGGTTTTGCTACTCCAATCGTTTGGCTACACAATGTTTTGCTCGGATTGGTATGTTTATGACATGACGATTATAATTTTTTTTTTTCCAAAGCAAAATACATATTATGCCTTTTGATCAAGGGATGACGTCTATAATTTAGAAAACAAGAGACATGATACTTTTATTTTACTAGAAGAAATTGAGAACAAAACAAAAATATATTATCTCCAAGAATTGTTTCCTTGCAGTAAAAGAAGGTTACATTCACCTAAAGAAAAAAAAAAGGCAAGAAAAGACTAAAAAAAAATCTAATGAAAAGAAAGAATAGAAAAAGAAACAGTCCACCTTCCACGGTGCTAGTAGTTTCCTAGAGGGTCTGATGCTACAAGTAGAAAGCTTCGACATTTAAGAAACCTTTTGGATTCCATAAATCTAGCTATAAGCCAAAACATGGCAGCAAATTTTTCAGAGCTTGATCAAGGATCAACAAGCCAGAGTACTTCAAGCAACATTAAGTCTCCAAGAACGAAATGTCCTGCCCCATTTCTGTCCAAGACTTATGACTTGTTAGAAGCAGATGGTGTTGACGATCGTCATCATGGCAAGAGAATTGTTTCTTGGAACGCAGAGGGAAATGGGTTTGTAGTATGGTCTCCAGCTGAGTTCTCAGACCTCACTTTGCCCAGATACTTCAAGCACAACAACTTCTCTAGCTTCATTCGTCAGCTTAACACTTATGTGAGTTATACTACTGCATGCTCCATCTTTCTAACTTTCAAATGCTTCCATTTTTTTCATAATCAGAAATGCCAGAAGCTTTCCTTCATACTAAAATGATCTCCTGTTGTTTTGAAATTGATTTTTTTTCAGCAAATAATATATGGGGAAAGATTCCTTTTGACACAAGATAATTAGTAGAATGAATTAATGCTATTTATCTCCTTTTTCTGCATAATCTAATCCAAGTTAAGAACTGCTGATGAACAATATAATTAAATTCTGATGATCAGAGGTGATTGATGATTCATCTCTGACAGCTCAATGGATATTGAGTTCTCAAAGTATACGGTAAAGAATGGACTACTACTAAATTTACTATTGTTGTATGACTCATATTACTATTTAATCATGCGGGTGAGCTGCAATTTTATTCAAGAATGTTTTGCTATGGATGAAGATATCTTGGTTCCATTCAATACTTCAGTCAAAGTGAAGAAAGTGTGAAAAAAAATACCGAGTCAAAAATTTGATATATCGTGATCTATAAGCGTCAAAATAATCACACTGCGTATTTTGCCTAAACAAGGACTTTTTTAACCTGGACTTCAATTGATGTAAACAAGCACCGCAAGCTACGGTTATACTGTTTTTATAATCTATGTAAGAGGCAGAGCCTTTAAAATTTACGAAATTCTTGACCTTGCTGACAACTATGGTTTTTTATTGCTAGGTGAGAGTGATAAGGTTTTGTTGGGTTTTTAATTTGTCGAGGATAGGAAATCATAGAATTGAATAAAGCAAGATAATGTTAAAGAGTATCTAATTCTTTTGCTATGATCACTTCACTTTTCTTCTTCTTCTGTTTTTCGTGTTTTTTTTTTTTTTATAAGCTACTTTGGATTCACTTGTTGTCGAATTGATTTTCCTACTTTCGTGGGCAAATGGGCCTTGGTGCCTTGCTATATGATTTTCTATCAAAACAACATTTTAGGCTCGGTGCCATGCATAATCCCATCTTGTGCACGTACAATTTACTATCAAATTCCATTGTTTTCCAAGTTTTACAGTGAATCTACTCCTCTAATTTCAAGCAGGGATTCAAGAAAACATCATCGAAGCAATGGGAATTCAAGCATGAGAAGTTCTTGAAAGGGAGGAGGAGCATGCTAGTTGAGATAACCCGAAAGAAATGTGAACCTAGTATGTTTCCAGCATATTTAAAGGCTTCTTCTAATCAAGAGAATGCCAAATTTGCTATGGAAGAAACTAATCGTTTGATACTCATGGAGCAGAACAAGAACCTTAAAAGAGAGAATTTGGAACTACAAATTCAAATAGCGCAATTCAAAGCTTTAGAAATTAAGTTGTTGGATTGCCTTACTAAATACATGGGAAGCCACCAGGACAAAACTAGAAGGCTATGTTAAGGTTATGGGGAAATTACAAAATTTTTGAAGTTTATGAGAAACAAGTATTTAGCAATATTGGCCTTGGATAGGTCTCTTCTCAGATGCTCCTTCCTCAGTATTCTGCTCAATGTGTAGCCTTTCTTTTCCCTGAATAATTGTGTTGATAAAAAGATAAGAAAAAAGAAAAAAATATATGCTATTTGTGCTTGGTATATATACTATTTGTGATGAGTTTATGTTTTTTGTCGATTTCTCTCTCTCGGTCTCTTTTTTAGATTGTTTTTAATTTTTAGAGTAAATAATTAATTTAATGTGTACTTGTTTAATATATTGAGTCTTCAATCTGTTTTTACGTTTTTAATTATGTTTATTATATAATATTTCTTTTCAATAAACTTTGTGATTAAACAGTCATGTACAAATCGTATAAGAAATTTTTTTGACCCGAAATGCTACTAATTGAAATGCAATATATATACCACTTGTGCCTATTATGCCCTATAATATCTAATTCTCTAATATGTTTTTATATGATGCTTTTCTATCTAAATTGATATAATTATTTTTTCGTTTTAAAAATACCTTTGAGTTATAAAAGAAAGTAATTTTTTTCAAAAAAATAAAATAAAATATTTATTTTTTTAAATTGTAGTGGTTTAGTCATTTTGAAACTTCTTATTTCTTAAAATATTTTGAGTAATTTTTGAAAAAAAATTCTATTATATCCTTAATTATATACCTCAAGAACAATTTAAGGATAAAAATATATATATAATTTTTTCAATCTGGATAAAAAAAAACATCACATAATGACATATTGGAGAATTTGATATTACATAATTAAAGACATAATAGGCACAATTAACAAATATAAAAATATATTAATTAATTTATAAAATATTTTTTTCTCATCAATCTTTTCCTTTTTTTTTTTTTTATCTCTTTTCTATTTCTTAAAATAGAAAATCAAAATAAATTGAAAAAATAGCAAAAATGACTAAATAATTAGTTTTTGAAACTAGACGAATTGATTAATTTGTTTTCCAAAACAAGACAGACTAATTTAATTTACTAACAAATTCCCATATGACCTACAGGTGATCTTCTGATTGAAAAAATTGATCTCTAGGACAGACTCACAATTAAATATTATTCAAAAAATATAATAGCCACAATTAAAAACTTAGAGAAATATTGAAAACTCAGCTTATTAATAAGAACATATTAAGTTATTTATCATAATTTCTATTTAATATATGAGAGTAGTAAATTAAATTATCTTACTAATTACATGATGAAGTAAATTTTGATCCAATGATTTGACATAAACTAGCAATTATGTAAGCTTCATATTTAAACCTTCTTCTCCTCTCCATTTCCTAATGTGCCAAAAAAATTAGGCAAAAGCTTAATCTTGACTTTCAAATCCTCACATGCTAAATTTCACATGGTAGGCCAGTCTAGCTTTTTTCTTTTTTCTTTTTTCTTTCCCCCTCTGATAGCGAAATGGCAAACTACATAAAATAATAATAATAATAAAAAGCTGGCTAGTAAAACCATTGCTAATTTATTTACTTTCCTGTATTTATTTATTTATTATTAAGTAATTATATTACTGCAGAATATAAAACTAATCGATATTGGGCTTCTAATTAAACAAGCCATGAGCCCAACTTTCATTTAAAGCCCAAAATGACAAAAAGATCCTAGCCCTACATTGGGCTTCAAGATAATTGGGTCAAAGAAGCAAAATCCCAAAACAAGAAACTACAACAACAGCCCAATAAAGCCCAGCCAAGTTTTAAGACCCATTTCTCTTAAACCCTACTAGCAGGGAACAAAATTTCCTCCGTCAAAAAATCGAAAAATCCCCAGTTTTTCTTACGCTGTCTTTGCTGCAAAACCCTAACAATGAAAACAAAGCTGTTCTCTAAAACCCTAATCCAAAATCAAAATACAATCATTACCAGATCTTACTACACTAACAAAGCTAATAAAACTACCTTGTACTCAAAAATCAGTCCTTTAGGAAGCACCCCAAGTGTGGAGCCTGAGCTTGACAGTTGGGTCCAAAGTGGAAACAAGGTTAGCGTTGCTGAGCTTCAACGCATTATTCACGATTTTCGTAAGAGAAAGCGGTTCTCTCACGCCCTTCAGGTCTTTCCTTTTTGAGTTTTTCTTGTTTCTTTTATGTTTTGTTGATTTGGGTTTTGTTGGACTGATGAGAAAATGTAAGAAAGGAAAAGAAATGAAGGTTGAACATGTAATTAATTATCGCTCATATTTGAAGGTCATTGACATGTTTTACAGGAAAAATGCTGGGCTGTGTATGGATTTTGACCGTATGTGCATTACAAGCATGTACTGTGATTAATTATAGGCGTTTTCATGTATCTATCTTTCTATTTATGAAACACATATGAAATGTTTCTTTTGTGGATAAAAGATACAATCTTTATAATTGGAGGTACAATAAGAGCATAAATGTTGGCTACCAATGAAGTTTTCGATAAAAATTGCTACAAGTTACTTCTTTGGAAATATCACACAGATTTTTGTGGGTGCAGGTGTCTGAATGGATGAATAAAAAGGACATTTGCATATTCTCGTCGAGTGAACATGCTGTTCAATTGGATTTGATTGGTAGAGTTCACGGGTTTGTTTCTGCTGAGAATTATTTTAATAACCTGAGGGACCAAGATAAAAACGAAAAGACGTATGGTGCCCTTCTGAATTGTTATGTTCGGCAGCGCGAAACTGATAAGTCCATCTCACATTTGCAGAAAATGAAGGAGATGGGCTTTGCCAAATCATCTCTCACTTACAATGACATTATGTGCCTCTACACGAATATTGGTCAGCACGAGAAGGTTCCTCAGGTCCTAAATGAGATGAAGGAGAACAATGTTTCACCTGATAACTTCAGCTACAGACTTTGCATCAATTCCTATGGTGCTAGAGGTGATCTTGAGGGAGTGGAGAAGATTTTGAATGAGATGGAGCACCAACCGGACATTGTCATGGACTGGAACACATATGCTGTTGCTGCTAATTTTTACATAAAAGGTGACCTTACTGATAAGGCCATTGATACCCTGAAAAAATCAGAAGCAAGGTTAGATAAGAAAGATGGAACTGGCTACAATCATCTGATTTCACTCTATGCTACGCTAGGGGATAAGACTGAGGTTTTTAGATTGTGGGATCTGGAGAGATCTGCTTGTGAGAGGCACATAAACAAAGATTATACCAACATGATGGAATCTCTAGTGAAGCTTGATGAGTTTGAAAAAGCTGAGAAAGTGCTAAAAGAGTGGGAATCGTCTGGCAATTTTTACGATATACGGGTACCCAATACCCTTGTTATTGGGTACTCTGGGAAAGGCTTGTATGAGAAAGCAAAAGCACTGCTCGAGGACTTGACTGAGAAAGGAAAGGCAACTCTCCCAAACAGTTGGGGCAAAGTTGCTGCAGGATTTTTTGACAGAAATGAGGTAGCAAAAGCTTTCAGCTGTATGAAGGCTGCCCTCTGCGTTTATGTGGAGAATAAAGGATGGAAGCCAAATCAAAGGGTGATCAATGGCATTTTGAGTTGGCTTGGTGATGAAGGTAGTGCTGAAGATGCAGAAGCTTTTGTGTCCTCATTAAAGACTGTCATCCCCATGAACAGGGTAATGTATCATGCTGTATTGAAGGCAAATATAAGAGCTGGGAAAGAAGTGCATAGACTTTTGGATGACATGAAAACTTACAAGGTAAAGGAGGATGAGGAAACGAAGAAAATCTTGAGCATGATACAGAAGTAAATTTAATAACCTAAAGCCTTAATGTTATTCGATTGAGAACCACAATAACTGGTGTATTCAAACCAAGTTTTTTTCCTGAGAGAATCATGCAACAGCTGTAGCACTCCATTTTATTTGTTTAATTGCACTGAAGCAATTAGTGGTTCAAATTTACCAAGATTATTAGTCTGCAATTGATTCAAGTTGTCCATACGAAATTGTTTGAGCAAATTGTTATGAGTTTTATATGCATATCGGTCCATGCAATTTAGCAGCAGTCTTATTCCTTGCATATATGCATTAACTGAACTGCTGCTTGGGAGTTGTTCCCCTTTTTGTTCATCAAAATTTCAACTCTGAAACATTTCTTTTCCTACTGGAGTGGAAGGTCCAAGCAATTGATCTGGTTCACCATCTCTGTTCAAGATGAGCAGGTTTGCCACCTTTCAACAGTTGTAATCGGGCTTGGATTGAGAATTGGCAATAAAGTTTACTATGAAAGCGCTCTGGTTCACAGTTTTTGATCGGATCAACTAGATAGGGTTTGACAATTATTGTAGAGGGAATGTTGCTGTTTTTTTTTTTTTTTTTTTTTTTTTCCGAAAAATAATTTCTATATGCTTTCCGGTGGGTAAATTATAAATTAGTCCTTCTAGTTTTAGGAAACAAATTAATTAGTCCCTCTCATTTTAAAAAATAGTATTTAATTTTTTTATTCAGCGTTGAACATGGTTAATTTAATATTATTTTTATTTCATAAAATCTTTTATTTTTTCATTTTTTTTCATTTTTCTATGTCTTGAAACAAAAAATCAAAATAAATTAAAAATAAGCAAAAAGAACTAACTTACAAGTAGATTTCAAAATAGAGACTAACTAACTTGTTTTGAACTTGTTTCTCAAAACGAGAGGGACAGTCCTTTCTGGTTAGAAGATAAGGTTTTTATTTTTTCATACAAATTCAAGTTGGAAGATAATATTCTCCCCTAAAAACCTCTAAGGAAAATGTGAGGTTGACAGTGCAACATTCGGAGATAATCCCATACTTATACCAGTAGTTGATCTTTGCAGCACTGATTGCTTAAAAAATTTAAAGATGCAACATTAGATCCTAAGCTAGCATCAAAGCCGAAAATTTGGCACATTCGAGATAAGCATGGTATACAAATAAAATGATCGAGAAAGAAAAGAATAGCATTAGCATGCTAGAAGGTAAATGCTGTTTGGAATTTCGAAGGTATGGTTCAAAGCGGATTGTCTCCCCTGTTTCCAGTTTGAAAGATGCTTTTAGCTTGCCAATGCCAGCTCGTTGTCATCAACTCACCATTAATTACCAGTAGCTGTTCTGCGGCTGATATTCATTTTGTACGTTATTCAACTAGGTTTTGGCTCCCAATTAACCAGTCCCCAATTAACTAGTCCCAAAACGCCTATCACCGACTCACAAAAACAAATTCCTCTTCTTCACCTTCACATAAACCCACTTGTTTTTGTAGTTGCCTAGGCTCCTTCCTCGTCTAACATTACAAGCCTAAGAGATTATAAATATGCCACCTCTAACTAGTTTTTAAGCTTCTAGGAAATAAGGGTGCTATTGCTACCTATGAAAGCAACTAAATAAGGAGCCCAAGCTCAAGATTTCACAACTACGAAGCACTTCTACTTCTCTCTTCGTCTCTGACTAGTGCATGTTGATGAAGTCAAGAGACCCCTAGAAATGATTTAATTCTTCAATGGCTGATGTTAGGGTTGAAGAATGACCGCTGTAATGGAATGAACATCTGCAGAACATGTCCTTTAGATGGATTGGAGAATCCTCCGATGAACAAATCAATGTATAGGGCAGAAGTGGTATGAGAAGAATGTAATGCAAGAAAGAAGATGAACAATGATACCGAGAAGAGAAGTTCAGAACCCTTCATCTTAGGCCTCTTAGATGTTTAATTGTTTATATAGCCAAGAGATTGTCTCCCTTACCACCAATAGCCTCTGATACCCATTTAGGGAACAAAGTGTTCTTGAGTAGTATTTACTCCTGAGCACAAACAAGTGCTCAATCCCCATCTTTACATGTCTTGTCATTGCTTTCTTTCTCCGAGCCGTGTAGGGCCTGCTCAAGTTCTGCAGGAGTGGTTTCGGTTGTAACTTGGACACAAGCAAGAAACTTCTTGAGTATCTCCTTTTGGACGAACGACGGGGATTGAACCAGCGCGTGGTGGATTCACAATCCACTGCCTTGATCCACTCGGCTACATCGGCCCCTACCCCCACGCAGGTTTCAGTCTCTATCTACGATCAGATCCTTCCCCCCTATGATCGCTGAGAAGCTTTTTCCTATGCTATAGTTGCAAGTCTATTGTTGTCATTTGGACGGAAGCACAGCTTCAAAAAGTAAAAGCTTTCTGGAAAAGCTTCAATTCAAACAGAGAGGTTGGGCTGTTCACTTCATTGATTTGACTTCACTTTCAAGATTAAAGAGGGGCCGGGCGGGCAGCGAAGGCTAGCTTAGTAGACAGCAAGCGAGCAGCAAGCACTTATTATCATAGTTTTAAATCGTAAACAATTGAAAAAATAATCGAGATCGCTATCACATATCACAGCTTAATGAAATATTAAAATAAAGATAACAGAATGCTCCAAGACCATCACATAATGATTATTATATAATGTAACGATTTTTATCTAAAACTATGCCTACTACTCCTATCAAAATGAAAAGCAGCAAGCTCTGCTTGAAGAAGCGATTAGCTACTCAATAAACAAAAGTACATCGTAAGTCCAATACCACAGGCGCGATTAGACTAGCTTTTGAAGTGGCCTTAAGAAAGAGCATAGGGGTTTATACAATGAATTAGTTCTCCCCTCAGCCCCAAAGCGCTGGCTTCACTCCACTTTCAGACATTTCTTTGCGCATAAGAAGAAGAATTAAGGGAATGGTACGGGTAGGAGATCTATTCATTATTAAGATTCCGTTCTTACCAGTGCTATATGATGGGAAGTCGAATCACCCTTGTTTTCAATAGCCAGATGGTAGAGTACAGCACCATCCTGCTCCTTGTTTAGGTTATTTCGTTGGTTGCCTGATTTTCATCCTAGATATAAATCATCCTCTCTCTCTCTCTCTCTGCAGTTTGGATTCGGCTTCCCTTGCAATTTTTGACTCCCGCATCCCTTAAAGATGGGAACCTTTGGACGATTCCTTCGTGCAGATGATCACACTCTTGCCTTGGCTCATTCCATGTTTGCTCGTGCATGCGTGGAGGATGGATGTCTCTGAGCCTTTGCCTTCTAGGCTTTGGGTTGGTCCATCCAAAGAAGAAGGATATTGGAAAAATATCTTCGTATATTAGACATGTCACTGAAACAATCTGTTCTGTCTCTGTTTTCTTTTCGGATTCTGAAGACGAGCCGGCCAATCCTAACATTTTTATCTGAGTTTGGCCCCCCTGCGTCGACCGGCTCCTCAGATAAAGATGTCTCAGACGGTGCTTTCTCGGCGAGAACAACCTTTTCTATGGTGATTTTCTTGGCGAGTTCGGTCAGAACAGACAAAAGAGAGATTTTATATCAGTCAAACCACGATCCGCAAATTAATTCAATATACCAATAAATAAAAAATGCTATAAGAGCCACCATTATGACGGAAGTTTGATTAATGACCACTGATGCTCTGTTTACGCAAGAAATAACTAAGGATGTGCTTCTACGAAGTTGAATAACATTCCAATTTCTAAGTGATAAGCAAATGCAATCTACTTGTCCACAAGAAGTTTTAAAACAATCAACTTGACGCTGTTTGCTTGAGCAGAGCATCTGGTTCACTTACAAAAAGAATTGCCAGTTCCAAGACTAAAAGTCAGGAAAACTGGTCCGTAGATTTGATGAAACCATCTTCTATCTGCCAAGGAAAGCATATACATGCCCTAGCCAAGCAGTCAAGCACATGTTGTGAAACCAAGACCACCATTCAGTTTTTTGTTAGGAAACAATATAATCTCCCTTTCTGTTCGACCTATCTATCCCATATCTGTCACCTATAACTATCAGGATTTACCATATTAAGACTGCAATTAACGAGTGAATTTCAACATAACAAATAACCCAGCATGCATGTGAAAAAGTGGCAAATATTTATCCCTTGATGAGAAAGAGAAAAATCTAGCAAGTTGCATGCACTAACAAATGGCAATATTACTGTGTGAAGAGGCTAATGAAATCGTGGAACCGACAATCCATCCAACGTAAAAGCAATCTAAATCATACTTAATACTACTTGAACCACATAGAAAGCAAAACTTTCATAATATAGCTTCAATCTATGATCCATCAGAAAATCATGCAAGGCATCAGAACATTGATGAGAAAGTACATTGTGCAAACTTCAGGCTCGTCACTCATGTATAACATCAACAGACACCACTAACATGACTGGAAAAAGAAATTAAGTTTTTTTCTGGCATTATTTGAAAGAATTGATGTCAACCCTACTCGGATAGGGTAGATTTCAGTTCTCCATTGTCTCGCAGCTCCATGATAATATCACAACCACCGATTAGCTCACCTTTGTAATAAAGCTGAGGAAAGGTTGGCCAGTTCGAGAAGACTTTTAGTCCCTGCCTCACTTCCTCATCTGATAAAATGTCAAAGGATCCAAAACTTACACCCTCGTCCTTCAAAGCATTTACAACTTTGGAACTGAAACCACATCTGGGGGAATCTGGGGTACCCTTCATGAAGAGCATCACTGGTGAAGAAGTAATCAGGCTCTTTAAGCGATCTTCTAGAGTCTCCTTCTGAACAATCCCTTTCTCAACCAAAACCCTTTTAAGTTCCCCACTTTTCTGCATCTCCAGCACAATGTCTGATCCACCAATAAGTTCACCTTTGATGTACAGTTGAGGATAACTGGACCAGTTGGAATAAACTTTAAGCGCGCGACGGACTTCTTCATCAGTAAGAATATCAAAGCTCTCAAAGTTCACCTTTTCCTCTCGAAGGATTTCAACCACCTTCCCACTGAAACCACACTTCGGTTCGGTAGGTTTTCCCTTCATAAACAACATAACTGGGCTTGAATTAATCAGGCCTTCAAGTTTGGAAGTCAAGGTCTTACTCAATCCAGTTGATTGTGCAATGCCACCCTTTCTATTTTCACCTCCACTCACTTTTGCCTCAATGGAATCAATAGTATCAATTCCATGATCTCTGAAAACTTCTTTTAATTCACCACTCTCATGCATTGCAATTGCTATGTCACATCCGCCAAGAAGCTCTCCCTTGCAGTAGAGCTGAGGAAATGTTGGCCAGTTCGAGAATAACTTCAACCCCTCACGAACCTCAGTGTCTGACAGGATATCGAAAGTTCCAAATTTCACATTTTCATCCTTCAGAATATCGACAACTTTTCGGCTAAACCCGCACCTAGGTGCTTCAACATTCCCTTTCATAAATAGCATGATAGGATGAGAGTCTATCAGTTGCTGCAATTGTTTTTTTACTGCATCAGTGAGTCCAGGTTGTGCTTGGTTTGCTTGTTGGGAGGAGCTATTTTCTTTGGCAAACTCTTTGACTGTTTCAAGAATGGTAGGTCCAGCAGCCATTCCAAGGCTGGCAGGGGCTGCAGGTTCTCCTGGGTTAGCTGAGCCAGCAACTTTAGCGACTTTGTTTGCCAAACTGGAAGGATCTGCACCTTCCAATGTATCAACTGTCTTGCCATCCTGATGAAGAAAATGCATAGAATAGCTGATCAGTATTCACTATGAGAAAAATGTTTTTGAAAGACGAGAAAAGTAATCCGTTTATAGTTTAATATGCATACATACATAAATATAGAAAATCTTGCAAAAAATAGAATATCAAATTGAAATTATCAGGTCATTTTCTCCATTTTAAGAACACAGATGATGGCCAAACCACAACTAACAAATAACATAGGGCAATCAAATGCCACTCCACCTTGTTATAATAGCACTTCACTCAATAATGTCATTTCAGGTTGTAATGGCACTACTGAGTGGAGTGCTATAATCAATTTTGGAGTGGCCAACATATCATTTCCCCGTAAAAATTCTCTACGAAAACATTAAAAATGTTCATGTTATCATTCGGAGTCGTGTAGTAGGTTTCAGTATAACAAAGCTGTGACTGAGCGAAATTTAAGTCCGAAACTCTAAATGGGATTTGTGAGTCATCTAGTTGATGAGGGGGTTCCATGTTCAAGAAACAGACCAATCTACTCAAACTGAATAAAACCAATTTCATTGGTTTATTTAGTAAAATGAGTGGTGCTGTTATTCAAAGAAGAAAGGGAAACATTAATCAGAACAACTAGTTGAGTCTCCCAGAATCTGCTGACAATCAAACTCAAAACTAACCAGATATCAGGTCACCCAAAGTCTCATATAGATACCAAAGTTTTCCCCCTCTCTCTCTCAGATGTGCTCTCTTCCTTTGTCTAGAAATAAAACCAAATTAAATATTGATCAGATAAAATGAATTGGTTGGGTTCAAGGCTTCAAGTTGTATATGGGTAACTAGTGGATGCATCCTAGTTTGCTTGCACACAGCAAGAGACTAGGCCCTTTACAGAGACTAAAGTGTGTGTGCTACAAATCAAGAAATTTTCTGGTTTGCATGGCTGAGGCATAGACATTGTGTATCGTCTGCCTGCTGGACGAACAGTTTGGCCCAAGTCAATCCAACCAAAGCAATTTAAGGATTTCAGAATGGGTTTGGTTTCAAAAGATGAATGGTTTTGGTTTTCAGAAATTTTGTGACCTGATTAGCCAGGAGGGTTTAAAAAAAGCTCCAAAGCTAAGCCACAAAACCCAAAACAATATTAAATAAGTTGGATGTGATACTGCAGTTTTGATTCAGTTGACCAACTATGAATCTCGTCACAGAAAAACTTAATCCAAAATTTACATGTATATAAAAAATAATTAGCTTCTTTCTATACGGGATTATTAGACAATACTCAATGAACACATGCAAAGCATTCAAAAAAATCACTATATCTCCATTTGTGAGATACATTAAAGCATCTCAACACCTAGGACCAGTACATTCATCTAACAAACGTCTACATAGTCGTTCTTAAACTGATTTACTTTACTCCTTTTCTTTTACACACTTTACTTACATTCTTCAAATTTAGTTTTGAATCAACTAGAAATAATAAAACCTTTTACGCAAAACATTATACGCTGGTCGTCAAATTATTACTTAAAACCTAGACTTGCACATGTGAATTGCATAATTCAATTCATTGATTCATCTCTTAAATGACAAGCAGCGCAATCATAAACCCAGTAATACAGTTGCAAAATAATCGACATCAACAAAACCATAACATGTCTTTTTTAACAATTACATTGCAACCTAAATTCCCAGTTTTTAACAATAACAAAGCTGGATACTTCCTAGTGAAAACAAAACATCAATAATAACCCAGAAGAGCATAAAATTTTAAAAGCACTCCATTAAAAGAAAAGGAAAATACCTTCAAAAAAACAAAATAAGGAATAGCAGAGACTGAAAAAGTCTCTGATATCTCTGGTTGCTCCTCAGCTTCAACCTACAAAACAAAACCCACATCACAAATTCAATCAAAACAAAAACCCACAAAAACACACGTATAAGTATATATTACATACCCTGAGAAAGTGGGCTTTTGGGAAATCAGTAGATAGATGAGAAAAGACTTGGTCCATTTGTTTTGAAGCATCACACCATGTTGCCCAGAAGTGAAGGATCACTGCTTCTCCACTTTTGGTTATGTTATCAAGCTCAGCCTTTGATTTCACGTCCTTTATTGACCCACCCATCTTGTTTGTTAACTCCACACTCACAGAAACCACACACACACACACACAGAAATTTGCAGAGCACACAACACAAGTGGTTCCTCAAAACCTAGAACCCATTCTTTCGATTCTCTTCAATATTCTTCTATTTTATTCGTTTTTCTTTTCTAAACTATATTTGGACCCCTAACCAATTCAACAATTTTCAATTTCATCCCCTTATACTCAAGATTTCCTAATGTAAAATCCTAAAATTTCCAAATGTTTCAGTATTTATATAAATCCTTATTGTTAAATAGCCTTTTTTTTTTTCCTTATGTAAAACATTATTAAATGCATTCACTTTTAAAATAAATTAAATGAATTATAATAAAAGAAAGAGAAATGATAGAATGATATCATCTCAATTCAAAAACATAACATATTAAGACTTAAAGAATGATTTTATATTATTATCTAACACAATTACTCAAGTGTGATAGTCATGACCAAATACTAAGAGAAAATGAAAATAGTGAAATTCGAATTCATAACCATTTATTCATCAAAACTCGATAACATATCAAAAAATTATCTCAACTAAAAAATTTAAATTATTAAGTGAGGTTCTAATAATAATTTTATATTACTTTGTAACGTGTGCAACTACACACACTTGCTAATATAAATGAAACCACGGTTTTTGTATCCGCAAGGAATGATGAGGATTTATTTTAAGGTATCGTTTAGTTATAAAAAATAAAAGATTAGAAATGAAAATGTGTAAATCGAAATATTAAAAAATTAGAATAGTATTTACATTTACAAAATGTGTTCGTAATAATAATAAAGAATAAAAAATTAAAATTTTAAAGATCTAGTTTGTAAGATGAATAAAAATAATAATTAAACAAATAATTTCATCAACCATAATAATAGTAAAAAATGACAAAGATGATTAAGATAGTAGTGATGGTAGAAAAAAATGAGGAGAAAGGGATAATAATATGTTATTTAAAAATTGATACCACTATTATAAAAGGTGGCAATGGAGGGAAAATGGTGGTGATAGTAGCATAACAAAAGTGATGATAATGGTAAAAGAGAAAAGTTAATGAAATAATAATAATAATAACTTTTTTTAAAAAAAATATCATGATTGCCAATAAGGGTGGTGATGATGGAAGTGAAGGTAATAATGATGGTAGAAATAATTAACACATAACAAATAAAAATAATATATCACCGTTTTGAAAAGAAAAAAATTATATTCACATTTCTTATTTTTATTTCTATCTCTCCTCGTTAAAATAAAACTATATTTAATATTTATTATCATTCTTTCTTCATTTCTTTCAATAAAGCACTATAAAATAGAAATAAAACTTCTATTTTCATTTTCACCTTTTCATTCCCAATTATAAAACAATACCTTATGTGCATGAAATGCATGGGTAAAAAAAAAGGGTGTATTTTTGCATAGACGTGAAAAAAATTTGGTAAAGAAGGGATAGATAGAAAAAGGATTTGTCTTTCCATGGACATGAAAAATATTTTGTACTTCAACCATAAAACGTACACATTTGTAGAAAATGAAGTTCAAACCTTAGAATTGAAGGTTTTGATTACTAGTGAAGCAATAAACTACACGTATATTGAATTCCATTAGATTGTCGCAATACTAAAAACTTATTTGAATTGTATCGATTAAATGGGTGAGTCCCAAATTCCATTTCGCCCTTTTAAATATAAATAATTTGATGTGTGGTCAAATAGTAATTCTAAATTTATTTAGTATTTGTGGATGCGATTGTTTGAATGTAATCATAAGATTAATCGAATCACCGCCAAAAATTGCAAGTTGAGTGATATAAAAAAATATATTTAACTCTCCACATTAGACGTTTCATTTTTATCTTTAGAAAGCTTCTTTCTCTTTTTTTATGTGGCATTAAACATGATTGTCTGGCGAGCTCAAGAGAGTCCGACTCTTAGAATCGAACACAAACTAGACAAAATCTAGCCAAAAGAATAATAGATTTAGTTTTAATTGATAAATTAGACGTTTAACTCTCCACTTTAGACATTTCATTTTTATCTTTAGAAAGTTTCTTTCTCGTTTTTGTGTGGCACTAAACATGATTGTTGGTAAGCTCAAAAGAGTAAGTGTTAGAGCACATATCCCACATTGAATAGTTAAACTAAAGTTGAGAAGAGGCTATCCATCATAAAGCTTAAGTCTTTTGTATGAAATATTTAAGGCTCTAACAACTTTGGTTTAACTATTCAATATGGGATATGTGCTCTAACGAGTACGACTTTTAGAATCAAATATAGACTAGACAAGATCTAACCAAAAGAATGATAGATTTAGTTTCAATTGATTAAAAATAAAAAAAACCGAGACCAAATGGTTTGGATATCTTTATTACATAATAAAAAAGGAAAATAAGATGAAGAAAATACGGGTACATCATCTTTTGCTATCTATTTAACAATAATGGTTACGTCAAAACTTTGGAAAAACTCTAGGATTAATTGCTATCTAAAGGGACCAAAATATACTTTACCTTTCTTTATGGTGGGAAATAAGAACAACGAACTTCTTATGGTACACTGCATACATGCACCAGCATCAGTCACCGCCTGTTTTTAGAGATGCCATTTGTGGGTCCCGTACGGTTAGTGGGAGGAAACGTGTAAGCTTTTTATTGGGATACTGATAGGTGAGTTGGGCCACAATGATTTTTTTTTTTTTTTTGAGATATCGGATTTCAGCCTGGTAAGCAAAATAATGGGCTTCAATTGTTGTGCGTTTAGAGCCACAAATTCATGCCAGAATATTGGAAAAACATCCCTCCTTGAATTTAAATCAATTCAGAACACTCAATTGGATTTGGTAAACTTTTTTGAAATGCCACTGGATGTTTTAAGTGCATCAAGAAGGAAGCTGAAATCAAGAAACTTTTAATACATACTACTGAATAACAGAAAACAAGGGTTACAAAAACTTCAAAGAATGCACCCTTTTTTTCTTTTTTTTCCTTCATTGCGTCCTTTATAGCGTTTGCATGGTCAACATTTTGATCATTTGATAACAACTTGTCAACAAACGATCATGATTGTCACCCTCAAAAAAGGAATAAAATAAAAATAAAAATCCGGTGGCTGCTTCTCAAGAAACCAAGGTGATTCCGGCGCTGCATGCTATTTTTTGGCGAAACTCAAGCGCTTTGGGTTGATATTATCCAGTTCAATTAGTATTGTTCCAACATCTGCTCCTTCAGTCCACTTGATTGATTCCTTCTCTAATAGCTTCATAATCTGCAAATGAAAAGGGAGGGAGGTATAAGTTTTCTTTTCTGCCCTTGGATGATAAGTAGGACCCGGATAAGATATTAACTTTATTTTCGGCTTTTGGTTCCGTCTCTCAAACAAAAGACTCTTTTCACACTAATGCATCAGCCTCAAAGAATTCTTAACAGAAAAGGGCAAAGTTAAATTGAGGCAGTCTTACCAATCTTCTACGAGCGCCTTTCGTAAAATCTTCCTCCTCTGTCTCGATGATGACTTTGAGGTACTTGAATGCTGATGCAAAAAATTGAATTGGATAAGATACATGACAGAGGAAATTATGAGGGGAAAATAAGGAATAATGATAGCTTACATGGGATGCCAGAAAGTAAGACAAGATTACTCTTCAAGGAGCGTATTGCATCTTTAGTGCCGTGTTGATGCAGATCAAGCAACGTCTCGTCTTGTGTATCAACATGTCTGCACAATAATGGAATCAAAAGATTAGACAAAAAATTGAGGAAAGAACACAGATTTATAACGCAAAGGGAATAGAAAAAAACAAAGAGCACATCCCATTACGCAATACATGAAAGTTGAAAAAAAAAAAAAAGTCACTAACTTTGTTTCAAACATCTTCTGAGTAGATTCTTCATCCACCTCATGAGCCTTGTCACGGAAAAAAAGTCCCTGCAGATACCAAGGACTTTTACAACTTAATTCCTTGGATTATCGAACAATGGCATTCTAATTGAAATTGATATAACCGAGAACCTCTTAAAACCCACACCCAAATACATACACATGACACTTCTGTTTGTAAGCAATTCATTTTGGCTATTATACTGACAATACTCTTATGGTAACCAGCCCTATGAACTGGTCTCAATTTGATTTTGATCTCATGGTTCAACTACTTGGTAAACATCCAAGACAACCAATAATATATATATATGTGTGTGTGTGTGTGTGTGTGTGTGTGTGTGTGTGTGTGTATTGTTTGTATCTTGAGTGCCCATCACGTTGCCAAAGAAAACAAAAACATGGTGTTATGTAAACGATGTCTTCGTGAAAGCAGTCAGAAACCTTACCTCGTCCATAAGTTTGTTTGCTCGCTCATAATCTTCCTTGGCAAATGCATCACCAGCCTGACAAGGAACATTCTTATTTTATCATGACCAGACTAAAAAGGTGATCAATACAAACCACATTGCAGATTTCTTATGCAAGAAGCCAGTCTGATCAATTAAATTGCAGTAGCCTGTTGCGATTAATATTCTTAGGGATTTTTATTTCAACTTACAAAATCATTATTGCATGTTACAGTACTATGACAAAATAAAACCAAATATTTTTTTTTAACTCACACACCCACGACTCCTAACAAAATTAATCTCTTAGGATTTGAACACATGACCTCTTATTGTACGAGACCACTACCATCGAACTACAATCTCTTTGGTAATAAAACCAAATTTATTCCCTTCATTGTATATTAGGAATTGCAAATTACAAAATATAGATATAGAGACCATTATAGTGGATAGACAGCCAATTGCAGGAAACAAAAAAAAGAAAGAGATTAGCAACCTACAGCTTTGTAATATTCATTCATTGTGGCCCGATACTCCTTCCAAGCTCTACGAAGAAGGTGGTAACTATCCTCTTCATCTTCATCTTCAACTGATGATACTACTTGGCATGAAGAAAAAACATAAAAAAGACAACCAATGAAAAGTAAACAAACTGAATCAGCCCATATATAAAGCAATACTTTTTTTTTTAACAAAAAAGCTTGTCTTTACAGTTCACAGATGCTTTCCCCCTGGAAAATAAAAAAACAGATAAGAGAAAAACGAAGAACCATGAAGCTAGAGAAGAAATGGTCACAAAGAGTTTTTGCAGCCAGTGAAGGGTCCCACGAGTAATTTACTACTTTGTTGTCAAAAACAGATTCTTGCTAACCCCAACATGGTAACATATAAATGCTAATAGATTGTTTTTTGTTTCTTCTGATGAAATAAGTAAAATGTAATATTTCTGGGAAAAAAAAAACAAATTGATTTTATAACATGAGTTCACCAGCTGTGATGTTAGGGTCGGGAAGGGGCAGACATGCACGTTTATGACATTTCAGAGCAACCAGAAAAAACTCCTGCCCTAAACTTTCTTGCTCCACGGGTCCCATAGATATCATCAAGCCACAGCACTTTCCAGATTTCATAAGGTAATCCACCATAAAATATGAAGGCAAGAATGGTGCACATCACTGAATCAGTGATTTAATTCCACATCCCAGAGGGAAACAATATAAGCAGACCATCAAACAATTCTAACACAAGGTTTAGAGAACAAAAACGAAACGAAAGAATATTTCAGTTTCTTTGTTTTTATTACTTTCTTCAGTGAAGGGGGTGATAGAGACTAGCAAAACAGGTCTAATGTGTTGCTCAGTTCTCAATGAATGAAAAAGAAATGTAGCTGCAGCAAAAAAGAAATCTAGTCCAAAGTTTCTTGTCAATGAGCTAATAAAGCATCCAAGCCTTCTAAATTTCTATACAAAATACTTGGTTAATGAAGTTCCTCTCGAAACAGTTCTTACCTTTGTCATATTCTTGCTGCGAGTTCACTGAATCAGCCCTGTTCTCTAAGGTAAAGTTTGCTGGAGTTTCAGACACTGGCTCTCCATATACTATCAACCTCCTTTCATCCCTCTTTATTCTTCTAGATAACTCCTCCGATCTCTCAGGAAAATTAAAAAGTGCAGCCAAAACATCGTTCTGGAGGTCCTGTCTCTCTTTCCTATGGCCAGGTAATTCTCCCCCATTTGCATTTGAAATTATATTTGCACTGCTTTGCAAATAAAAGCAAAAAATGTATTACGACATAAAATAATCATAAGGATAAGTTGTTCTTTCCCTAATTATAAGAAAAGTATCCTATAGCTTAATAAAAGCAAACTATTTAACTTGCCAGGAATTTACAAGTATCATACCCTCCTCCATGGGAACTCATCGATTGTAAATTTTTTTGACATGAAGGTCCTCCAGAATTAGACAGTGCATCTGTGAACTGCAAGATAATAATGCAAGAGGAAAAGGACAGATAGATTAGTATTACCCTTAAATTAGAGGATAATACCCTTAAGTTCACAGATGATAATGTGAACTGTACAACAGATACAAACTTATTGTTTTTGCAGAAGAAAAGCAGCATAATTCCATTCTTGACATCCATACTTTTCAGTGAATTAATTAATAACGCTTTAAAATCAAGAAGCCAGTCATCATGAGCTTCTTATCACTGTTTCTCTTCTTTTGTACTAAAAAGACCTGTATTCAACTGGTAACTAATTACATAGTTATAATAGCATACAAACCAAGAAGAACGAGAGGAGAATTTGTACTACACAGGCAGATCTATAGAAGGACAAACAGGATAGCTTTGGCATATAAAATACTCCCCCAATCTTACTCTGAAAACTTCTAAAGATGCAAGACTAGCAACAACTAACTTCACCTAATTTCACAAAGTCTCAAGTTAACTACCAACAAATACCAATTAGCAGTTTCTCTATAAAATATACATCAAATGGCAGGTACAATGATCCCTCAATAAATGAGGATTTTTCTAAACTGAACTGGTTATGCTAACCTTTCCAGTGGATCTACCAACATCTTTGTTCCTTTTGTCCAAACTCACTGCTGACAGATCAAGTAGTTTCTTCATGCTCTGAAAGGTGCAGAAAGGAAAATAAAATAAAAGTGCTTACTAACGCAGGTAATAAAATCACATCAATTGAGAACAAAGCTAAGACATGCAGTATCTTGATGAATTACTTCATTGAGCGCATTAACTTTAAAAGTTTAACGCACGTCCATCAAAGATGTTCAAACATCAGTCCATTGAGAGGCTCATAGAGGAAGATCAGAGTAAAGTTCATCAGTAGAGCATTATTCTAAAAAGAACTGGAGCTTTTAGCATGAGCATGCTTGTAACAATCAAGTAGCTGGTTTGAACATGATGGGTGGTTCCAGTTACATTCCACCTTTAAAATGCCCTCCATACAAAGACCCTCAAAATTACATAAACTTTTATAAGGTGGCTCATACTTGTACGCATGATAGCATACTGAAACAATGGCTTATTAGTCTGAAATAGCAAAACCATGTCAATAGTTGCACAAATTTTAGGGTTTGTTGAAGATGATTATGATGTAATCACAAGTTCAATGGATCAGAGCCCAAGCCTTGAGGATTAAAACTCTACCCTTTTTTTTTAAGGCCTTTGTTCATTATTACCATGAGTTCGTGATGCTTTTCAGTTCTATCAGTTAACTAAATTATAAAGCTCAACCATTGGAACCACCAAAAGTATCTAATTATCAATCCTAGGCAAGCAACAAATGCACACCCACAGCATGTCCAGCCTATGAAAGCAACCTTGAATTAACTAGAAACAAGTGCAGTCAATAATTGGTTTTGAAATAAAAAATGGTAACTGTTTTGATAGGAAAGATGGCATTTGATAAAAATCAAAATAGTCCTTGAACGTGAAAGAGGATATCATGCATACCTTTTGCATATCATATCCACATGCATCTGCACAATCAACATAATGCTTGATTAGCAATCTTGCAAGATGGTTAATTTGCATATGGTAATGCAGGATCGAATCTTTCAAGATCCAAATCCTGCATCCCATCTCAAATTCAAATCTTTAATTAATTGAATCTTTATGTTCTCTACAAAATCATACAGAGTAGTTTATACAAATTATATAGACAAAATCTCATGTTTTACTTGCGAAAATTTCATCAAGTTGAAACAGATTCCACTCATTCAATATATTTTTTCAAGGTAGAAGTTACAAAACAGCAAATTTTAGACTCTCTTTAGGAGGGAACAAAAAGTTTCACAACAATATTTAATATAAGAAGCAACCACAACAGGTGGTAAATATTTAAAGCATTGTTTACCAAGTACTTGTTGAATCATTTCCCTTTCCAGCATGAAGCCATCTCCTAGCATTTTGAATAAAAAATCTTCCATATGCTTGTGCATACGATCATCCTTTCCTTGGGTTTGTTTGGGTTCTTCTCCCCAAAGTTCAGAAACTGGGAACTCCTGCGCATCCAATTTCAATGGTTTGGTTGCCACACAAGAGCCATTGCCCACTGGCATGGATCTAACGTAACTCCTGCCAAGAACACTTGAAACAGTGCCTCCTGAAACTGGACGCCGTTTTTGCTTTACAGTTTTGAACTGTCCATTTGTATCAGACTTCTTCAAAATATAACCATTGGAAGACTCAGAAGATTCTTCACTCACCAATGCCTCTCCATTGGATGAATGACTAGAAGCGGTGGAGTAACTTCCCTCCATATCCAGCAGAATTTGAACAGCAAAATCTGCATCTCGGCTTGCATTGCAATAAGCAGAAGCTATTTGTTCAAGAGAAAATTTGGAACCAAATGCCTCCAGCAAGCCCTTCAAAGCCTTTTCCTCATCATCGAACTTCAATATGTTTGAAGTAGATACTTCCATTTCAATACACTATTAAAAAAAGGTGAAAGAAAAAGTTAAATGCACAATTCAGAATTTTTTATCGGAACGAGGAGATCATTTAAATACTCACACAAACCATATCTGAAAGGAATTGACTGATAGCCCTCACCAAAACAGCACACACAAACACCAGAAAAGTAAAAAAAAGAGTCTGACGCTTAATTCACTAAATGTAAATCCAACCTCACATGCTTACTACAGGCAAGATATGCACTTCCCATTTGCACACACCCAGGAATTTTCTTTCACCAAACATCTAAACAATAGCAAAAATAGAAAAAACATTGAATTTATATGGGCCAACAAGGCAAGAAAATCAAATAAAGCATCAGAAATAATGACACTAGTTATAGAAGGGCATTTAACGAGGGTGAGGCATTACAAAGAATAGACTTGAGAGAAAAATTCTCCATAATGCATAGAAGAAACTATTATACCAACAAAAAAGACGTGTAGAAAGGGAAGCTAACCGCTTCCCTAAACAATAAACCATCTCCCAGATGATGCAGTTTGTTGTAAGTAGTGAAACCAATCAAAAGATCTATAATTTATATCCAATAACCAGTCTTTCTATTTAAGCAATCAAATTTTGATTTAAAAGCTATTAAATTGACACTAGAACTAGATTGGAGTTCCAACAGAAATAAACAGACGCAAGGGAAATATTTCCAGTTTATATATGATTCTTAAGGACCTGAAGCATTCAAGGAAAAACCATGATCATACAAGATTGAATTCATATGGACTAACTAAACAAGAGGCAAATTACTGAAACTAAAAGAAGCCAATAATAATAGTAACCAAAAACAGCATAAATGAAGGGCATTCCAGTGATGTTTTAGAGGCTATGACCACGAATTCAACTTTCAACATAGGGGATGAAACATAAAAAGGAGCTAACAGTTGCAAAAAAAAAAAAAAAGTCTCTTAAATTCTTGCCAGAAAAGGTATTGAAGCCACAAAAAAGGAATGAAGAACAAGCAATAACCAACAAAAAAGAAAACCCCATTTCCCCAAAATGAATATCAAAATCAGATTAGAAGAAATGCAATCTAATTATTCGGCAAAATGTCAAAATCAAACAAATTAGAATCAAAATGCATCAACCAATCTAAAGATTCACACGTTATATCCAAGTACCAGAATTTGGCAATCAAGGCAATCAAATTAGATCGAATGCTATTGAATTTACATTCATAAGTCGATTCAAATTCTAAACATAAAAAAGACAAAAAAAAACACTCACTTCCCCAAAAAAATCGACCATCCTCACAAAAAAACAACTGAAACCCAAAAACGGGTTTCTGCTTTCTAAAGAGAAAGAACTGGAGTAACTCACCAGAGAGGTTTGGGTGGTGAGAATTTGTGGAGGGAGGTATGGCTAATGGCTTTAGAGTTGTTGGCTGGTTTGGTTTTTATACACAGAGAGAAACGGAAAGTAATTGAGTTTCGATTGAATAGTGCTTTCACTCGTTTGTTTATTTGGAGTAATACTAAAAAAGGAGAAAAAGGAAAAAAAGGAAAAATACAAAATGATTGCTTTTTGGCGCTCAATTGCTTGGTTGAAGTGCACAGTCTGACAAGTTTTGATTCTCTTGCTATTTTAATTGACGCGTCTTCTTTTTTTGTTCTCTGGGTATTCGCCTTCGGTTGCAAGTTGTTTGGTTTAATGTCATAGTTTAACTTCAAACTATTAGTACTCTCTATCTGAGCGGTTTAATTGCAAAAATCGTCCAAAAACTATTAGAATTATGTGAAAATAAAATTTATACTATTAATTTAAAATATTTAAATTTAAATTTATTATTTTTTAGATAAATATAGTCTTTTTTTTTGTTATTTCTAATGATCAAAACTAAAATATAGTTCAATAAGAAAATTTATCCTAAATTACTAGAATTGTGATAAAATAAGATCTATACTATCAATTTAGGTTATTTAAATCTAAAATAATTAATTTATTGACAAATTTTATCATTTTCATTGTTTTTTTTACGGTTAAAGTGTTGATTGAAATGGTTAAAACGGTGTCATTTTAAGTATTTTAGATTTTTTTAGAATTAAAAATAATTTAAAAAGTTAATAACTTCGTTTTTTAACTAGATAGATCAATTGCACATTATTAATGATCCGACAACAAAAATAAGTCCCATAAAAATAAAAACTACTTAAAAGCTAATTATTATTAAATTTTTTAAAAAATTAATTTTAGTTCTTAAAAAAAATTAACAATTCATTCATTCTTTTTTTTTTTACTGAATTAATCCATTACATATCAATAATCATCCAACAACAAAAGTTAAATCCATAAACAACAAAATTATCTAAACTTCTTTAAAATTAATTATTTTTTTTAAATAAAAGTTCAACACTTTGACTTGTGAGAAATAATGGAGAAAGATAGAACTTTTGCTTGAAAACGAGTTTAAGATGAAAATAGCCCAAATTAATTGAATAGGCCTTATTTTGTCCGATACTAATAGTTTGAGAATAAATTTTGCTATTAAATAAATTTCAATTAACGGTCAACTCGTTAAATATAATGGTGAAAGATAATATTTGCTCAAAAAATAATAATTTGTGATCCAAAGAGCTCAAATTGGTGGTATCGACCTTAAATAATCACAAGCCAATAGTTTGAGGGGTAATTTTTGTTGCTAAACTCGATTTGAATTATTTAAATTTCAAATTATTAATTTTTAAATAAATTTTATCCTTCTCTCGCTATGTTTTGTGTTTAAAGTGTTCGCCATCAACTAAAATCTTTTTAAAAAATATAATTTTAAGCATCTTAGCTTTTTTTAGAATAAAAAATAATTTTAATAAATAAATTAATTAATAATGGTTAGTTTTAAAAAAATTTAGATGATTTTATTGTTTATGTATCTAATTTTTGTTAATGGATAATTACTGGTTTGTAATTGATCCATTTAGTGAAAAAAAATTATTAAATATTCTATTCAAAATTCATTATAGTTCTAAAAGAAATAAAATAAAAACTAAAATAATTGACATGACATCTTTTTAAGTAATTTAATCAATGGTCAATTCTTTAATCGTTAAACATAACGAAAAATGATAAAATTTGCTCAAAAATTAATAATTTAAGCTCTAAATAGCTTAGATTAATAATATAGGTTTTATATAAAAAAAAATTAATAGTTTAGAGGTAAATTATGATTTTAATCCCAAGTTGATTTGGGAGAGTAACTTATAAATTAGTTTTGCAAAACCAATTAACTAGTTTTTCTTATTTTAAAAATGAATTAATTAGCCTCTTGATCAGTGTTGAATATGATTAATTTAATATTATTCTGTTTTAAAATTTTCTTTTTTCTCATTAATCCTTTCATATTTTTTACTTATTTTTTCTACATCTTAAAAAATTAAAATAAATTAAAAAAGAAAAATATTATGATATAAATAGATTTAAAAATACTATAATTAATGATTAATTTTAAAAAATGAAAAAAAAATATTTAATTTATTTTGAAAATCAAAACAAAACAAAAAAAGACTAATTTACAATTTACTTTGTTTTGCGCCTTACCGTGGATTCTTCTCCTCTCCTCGAAAGCCAACTTACATTTGATTTGATCATTTGGCATCATTGTGATTTTTTGAAACGTTGATAAATCTAGTTATAATCAATTTCATTTGAAATAAAATCTTAAATTTTGATCTCCATATAAATATATGGAAATCCTAATAATATATAGATATAAAAGTTATGATATTTCTTGTCAGATGTATAATAACTATTTTTTTGGTTTCTTTTTGTTAAATTTTAAGTAAGCCATCGAAATTCAAACGGATGAATTATAAGAATTTGTTTTCTTGAAATCTCTTCTAAAATTCATTCCATTAGATTTTAGTTTTTCATGTTATTGCTCAGAATTACTTGAATTTAAAAGGAGTCCATGATAAAAAGAAACTTAGAGTGAAAGTTGAAATATATATATATATATATTGGTTAAGAAAATGAGTGTAATGATTAGGGGCGGAAAAACATAAAAGAGAAATTGGCAATTGTCCCCCTAAAGTTTTCCCAAAATTCATAATAGCCCTTGTTAGTTTTAGGAGTTTAAATTTGCCCTCCTTCTTGATATAGTAATAATCATCGTGAATGGCAAAACATTTTTTTCTCCTTACAAAAAAGAAATTGGGTTTGTGGTTTTGAATGGTAAAATACCAAACCCTTAGTTCAGAATTAATTTTTGTCACCCATTTTGCATGGTATCTACAACGTGAAATCAATTTTTCTAATCATAGTTTCATACTGTTTTGAAAAATCCACACAACTGAACTTGGTCATTTGATTAACATTAGAGCTACACAGCTATCAATTTATCACGTTAAACTTTGATATCAGCTTGCACATTGACTGAGTATCCATTCAAATAAAATTAGGAAAATGAACCCAAAAAAAAATGGTAAAGTGCAAAATTGCACCTAAATTTTCACTCCATTTTTAATCGTATCTCGAAAAAAAAAAAACAAAACTCAATTCAATCTCCTATTTATTGGACGTTGCTTGATTAAGCCCCATTTTAATATTTACTTTCTTAAAATCATAAAAAAATGTGGAAATTTTTGTTGTTTTGTATGCATTTTGAAGACGAGTGAGTTGATTATATGGTGTTTGCCTTTGATCTCAAAAGAAATGCAATAGAGAGGTTTAGTACCGTTCACTCTCTCTGTCTTTTTTTCTTTTTTCCTTTCCTTCAATTAAATAACTATCTTCACAGAAAAAAATAAAAAAATAACAATAGCAAATTTTGCAGCGTGAATGCATGGCCAATATTAGTGATTTTGATTGGCCGGTCCGGGAGTAGCACAGGGATAGGGACGGCAGGGCATCATGACACCTTCAATGTTAAGGCGCTTCAACATGCGGCAGTTCCTTTAGCTTCGTCGTCTTGCCAATTTTCCTTCGAAGATTTTCATGCCTTTACCGTCCACCTTTAATCATTGCTAAAATTGACCAATGATACGGACAGCAAATTGGGGGCCATCTTCATGCGAGGAAAAGGAGGGCAAATTCAAGTGTCTAACTGTGTTTTTTTACCTTCCTTATGAACATGTAAAATTCATGATCAAACCTCGATTTTTAAGTCAATTTTTGATAGACTACCGATATTAAAAGCATTAATAATTAACAATAAAATTAAAAACATTGAAGGTGTTTATTGTTCAATTAACAGTAAATTCTCTTCCATTGTAGCAATCTTTGCTCAATTCTCTTTCGTTATATAGTATTTTTCACTTACTTTTAATTTTTTTTCAATTAAGTATATAAATTTAATTTTTTCATTTGACTATATTAATTTTTTTAAAACTATCAATCAAGTATTCTCATCAATATTTTTATTAATCAATGACATTTTTGTTATCCTTAAAACACCAAATTATAATTTTATTTTTTTCTCAATGAAGTATATGAACTTTAATTTTTTCATATTAAGAATAATAATTTTTTCAAAACTGTAAATTAAGTACTTTTGTCAATTTCTTCATTAATTGATGATGTGTTCAAATACTAATTACATTTTTTCATCTTTTGTTGTAAGAAACTTTCTCCTTAAATTATTCTATTATTTTAAGATTTGAGAAATAATTTTTTAAAAAATATTTTTAGTTATAAAATCTCAAACTAAACATAATAAGGCTTGTTGTTGAAAAAAAAAAAAAACAGCTAGGTTGTGGATGTGAAAATTGAAGGAAACACAAACATGGGATTTTTCATCAAGAAGATTCATTTGTATTTTTTTTATTTTCACTTTTAAACCTAATTGAGTTTAGTTTGGAATTTTAGAGATAATAAATAGAATTTTAATTATTTATTAAATTATAAAATAGTAAAATAATTTGAGGAGAAAGTTTCTTTCAACAAAAGAGAATAAAATTATAATTTTATATTCGAATACATCATCAATAAAAAAAGTAATGAAAATATTCGATAGATAGTTTTAAAAAAGTTAATGTACTCAAACGAAAAAAATAAAAATTTATGTATTCGATTGAGAAAAATGATAAAATTATAATTTGATATTTTGAAGATACTAAACATGTCATTAATTAATAAAAAAATTGATAACAGTATTTAATTAATAATTTTGAAAAAAATGATGCACTCAAATAAAAAAATAAAATTCATATATTCGATTGAGAAAAAATTAAAAATTAATATACTTATAATGTAATTATTTTATTCTCTTTTACACTTAAAACTTATGGCCATTGATAATATTATTGGGATGTTTAAGCTTCCATCACACGTTAAATATGCAAGATTTAACAATTGTTTTTGATTTATTTATTATTTGGAAACTTAATACAGAAATACAGAAATTACAAAAGGAAGAAAAAAATACAAAAAAAGCAAGGGCAGTTCCCTTCATCTCCTGGACAATTTTCTCAAAGCTGTCAACTTCCAGCAGCAACTTTCCCACTGCCAGCCTCCATCACCAGCAGCTACTTGTAGCTTCCCATGCTCTACTGCCTTTACAGCAGCACCTCCTCCAGCAACATGGAAGCTATGCTTAACCTCTTGTTTGGATATTTCCTCTTAAAAAATAAAAAAATTATTTTTTATTTATTATTTAGATAAGAATAAAAATAAAAATAAATATTTTTTTATTTAAATAATATATATATATATCTATATAAATATTTTTTATATAAAAATAACATAAATGATAATAAAAGTTTTGTTTATGTTATTAGTGTAAGTCCCCCCATTCCTCTTCAGTCACCTCCTAGACAAACTCCTGTCCAGTCTCAACGAACCTGCAACCTCCAATTATCCATCAGTTCCTATCCTTCCTGCACAGCCACCCTATTGCCGTGACAGCCTCTCAATCTACTGCCATAGCCACCGATACTTGTGATGTTGATTGGTATGCCCTATAAAAAAATAACAATAACAGATTTTGCAACGTGAATGCATGATCGATATTTGTGATTTTGATTGATATGTCCTCTCAATCATGACGCCTTCAATGCTAAGGTGCTTCAACGTGCAGCTCTCCATCAATCTGCCCCATCGGGAAGTTGCTTTGGCTTTCTTCTGACATTGACTAAATTGCCATACGGCTCAAGATTTATCTTGTACTATGTCTTCTTGCAAAAATTCATTCGAAGATTTTTATGCCTGTCCCACCTTGAATCATTGCTCAAATTGACCAATGGTACTGGTATGATATGGCACTCTTCATGTGAGGAAAAGAAGGGCAAATTCAAGTGTCTAGCGGTGTTTTTTTTAACTTCTTCATGAACATATAAAATGCACGATCAAATTGTAAGGATTTTGGAGGAATGAATAATGGTGGTGCTAGTAGAATTACATAAAATTCTTGAAGCTATTTTCATTTGGCTATAGAAAAGGGTAATAAATTTAAGATCAAATCTCAATTTTTGATAGACAACCGATATTAGAAGCATTAATAATTAACAATAAAACTAAAAACATTTAAGGTGTTTATTGTTCAATAAACAATATATCCTCTTTCATTCTAGTGCTGCTCACTCAATTCTCTTTCATTACGGTCTTATTCATTTAGACTCAATTTTTTTTTTTTTTATTGCAGTATCATACGCTTAGACTCGTAGCAGGAATAATATTATTGTGATGTTTAAGCTTTCATCGGACATTGAATAAATCAGTTTTAATAAATGTTAAGCTTTGGTCTTTTCTTTTTTAAAAAACTTTTGTTTGAATTTATAACTTTATTTACACCTTAGTTTGATCCTTAAATATAAAAAAGAAAGAGAAATAATGAGAGAGAAAATCACAAGAAGTTTTATTTTAACTACTTTGACTTTTGTTCTTGGCAAAGATAATTTATTTATAGTTGTTTTAAATCATAAAATAATAAAAAAATCGATCAAAATCCTAAAATATTTTTGAATTTTTTACTTTAATTTGAATTTTTGTATTTTTTATAAGAATTAAAACGAGTTTTGCCTCTGTGTTTGGATAGGAAGAAAAGTGAAAGAGAGGAAAAAAATAGGGAGGAAAGAAAATTTTTCTTTGTTTGTTTTGAGGGAGGAAAGCGAGTGGAAAGAAAAAAATAATAAACAATCTATACATGATGGGACCCGTTTTTATCCAAAAGTTAGGAGGAAACGAGGAGAAAAACGTGAAACATATCTTTTTTTTGTTTTGTTTTGTTTTTCATAGTTTTTCCCTTGCCTCAACCGTCCTCCTCATTTTCTAAAAACACGGGGTAATAGATCCGTAATCCCTCAATCTCTCTCTCTCTCTCTCTCTCTCTCTACAATTCTTTATCCGTCATAATCTCTTCCTCGTGAATCCTTTCACATTAACATATCTGCAAATCAAGTTATTGGACCTTGCATTAGTTGATCCATTCATATAACAAATTTTCTTTCCTCCTTAGTTCATTCGAGAAAAAGCATTCTGCTAGGTGTTTCTTTCCGAGCAACGAAGCTTACACCCATTCGCAGTTCATCCAAAGTTTTTAACATCGGCAGGGGCGAGGTAATGTGTTGTTTGATTTTATTCTTTGTCATTTAATTGATGAGTTATGTTTGATCTAGAATGTGTAATGTAATTTCGGTTTGAAATTCAACGTCAAAATTACACCAT